ATAATAGCATGTGCAAAGGGCCTGAGGTGGGAGCAGGCTGGCTACTTAGAGAAGAGCAAGGAGAGAAAAGGGAGGTGGTATCAGAGAGAGCTATGGGGTGCAGGTGATGCGGGGCCTTGTGACCATGTGAGGACTTTAGCTCTTGTACTAGGAAACACGGGGCGCGGTGTTCGGAACAGGAGAGTGGCATGATCTGATTGAACGGGTCTGGTCTGTGTGGAGAAAGGACAAGAAGGGGACAGAGGCAGAAGCAGGGAACTAGTCAGGAGACGGTGCAGTCATCCCGGCACATACATGATCCACGAACACAGTTTAAGTATCTGCAAGTAGTTCACCCTGCAGATTCACAACGATCCATGGAACTAATTCCTTATTGATGGGTATTTCGGTTCTTTCCAACTGAGGCTTTATTACAGAAAACACTGATGAACACCTTTGTGCCATAGATCTTCATGTCAGACATGTTTGCTGTTTAGGTGTTACTGGGTCATCTTTCTAAGGCTTTCTGTCCATAATTCCAGTCACCCTGAGAAAGAGGGTGCCCCTTCCTGTGGCCACTGGCAGTGTGTGACCTATCACACCTGCCCTTAATGTATATAATGTGTGTCCAAAGGGTGTGGCTCCATCCTTGTGGTCCTGGCCGGGCCTGGATGCACATCTTAGGGGACACCCCTCTTGTTCGGACGGCCTTGCGTGGTCCCAGAGCTCTTTCGAGTCCATTTACTTATTTAATGCTCACCACAGTCCTGTCGTCCCTGCTCTGTAGGTCGGGAAACTAAAACTCAAAGAACAGCAGTAAAGACCCTGTTCCAAGTGCTGTATGGATATCACCTCGTTTAATCTTTGCAGCAACCTGGTGAGGTGGGTGCCATCAACACCCCCATTTCAGAGATGAAGTCCCTGGTGCAGGGTGTCAGCAGGGGCGTTAAGCCCTGGCTTGCAAACCTGCTCTGCAAGCCACTCCTGGCCCTGCCTCAAGCTAGTAGGGCGACTTGCTTGGGGCTGCACAGGTGGACGTGGTGGGCCTGGAAGCTCCTGGCTCTGGAGCCCACGTCCTAGCCGCTGACAAGATGCTACTCAATGCCAGAAACCCTCAGTAGAGCGCTGCCTCTTTCTTCCCATCAAAACTGGTCTTGGTCCCTTGTGTCTGACTGGTGCTTCTTCCTCAGACCCCCCTGCAACGGCTCTTGGAGACCAGACTTTGGTGGAAGAGCTCAGATCCCAGCATGGAGGGCACCAGAGGGCCCTTGTGCTCCTGGTCCAGTCCTCTTTCCTCTTTAAGTTGGACAGGAAGGAAACTAAGGGCCACAGTGGGGCAGTCACCTGCCCAAGGTCACACATCTAGTGGGGGTCTGAACCAGGTGTGCGGGGTGGAGGGGTGGCAGGAGGCTGGCCCAAGAAGCAGGCCGGGTCCCCCCCAAGGGCCCCTCTCCGGGGAACGTTGAAGAGCTGTGAGGGTCGCAGCTGTCTGTCTTCAAAAGCCCTTTGTTGAGGAGCCTGCTGACTTGTTGTGAATTATTAATGAGACCAAGCCTGTAACCTGCTAGGTGGGACCCACTCACTTGAAGACAACCCTGTTTTACAGTCGCCAGCTTCCTGGAGTGCGTGGCCCTAAAGTCTGAGGGCTGGGGGCGGAGCTTCTGGGCTGGCACAGCCAGCGGGGTGGGGAGAGGAGGTGGAGATGAGGGCGCTTCTTGCTAAGGAAAGTCCTGGAGGAAGGGACTGAGGAGGGGGGGGGGAGAGGTCTCCCACATAGTGCTCAGTAAGCCTTGCAGTATCCTTCAGGGGGTGGTACATTTGTCCCACGTTTACAGATGGGAAGACCGAGGTGCAGAGAGGGAGAGGCGGGGCTGACTTCACAGCTTAAACTCTTTCTACAACAATGACACCCTTTTCACATGTTCACACTCCCTTCTCTGGGAGCCCCATTTCCACTTTCCCCACAGGATAAATAGTCAAGTCCTGGGTTTATGCTAGGGCTAGGCCTGAGTCCAAGTCCCACTGGGTCCAAGCCTCTACTGGGAGACAGTTACTGCAGAGCTTTCTGGAGCCTTCTGAGGAGGTTTCACCAAGCAAATGTTTATTGAGGGCCTTCCTAGGCTGAGAGATGGTGCAGGTGAAAGCGGCCCACGCGAGGGCATCAGGGCCGTCAAAAACTACGGGGGGGGGGGGGGGCCAAGCAGTGTGTGCTTGTGGGCGGGGCCAGGGCGGGGGCGGGCGGAAGGAGGGAGGAAAGCAGGCCTCTGTGGGGTGTCCCAGGTCCAGAGGGCTAGGAAACGGGTCCCCTGGCAGGGGAGGAAGGGCCGCAGGACGCTCTCCTGTCCCCAGGGCTTGGCTGCCAGCCCAAGCTGGGGATGCGCAGGCGGCCTGAGCAGGGTCACCTGGGTTGGGAGGTGGAAATCATGGTGACTCACAGGCTCCTTCCTCAGGGCTGGGACTGGGCCCCAGTTCCCAGGGGCTGGGAACCGCTGGGGCAGGGCCCTCCTGAGAGCTGGTGGGCCACTGTGACGCTCTGACTCACTGGTGAGTGGCTCTAGTATCACTGTCACTGTGGGGGTGTGGGGAGAGTCACAGCTCCAAAGGCTGCTCATCCGGCAGAACCTCAGTCGTCATCTGTAAAAGGTGGGGAGCAAAAGCATCTACCGTACCCCGTACCCCACTGCTGCTGTCAGCAGGCCCTCCCCAGCAGGCCCTCCCCAGCACCGTGCCGCAGGCCGGACAGGGCTCCGCACATGCTACACGCGTGGTCCTGACCCTCACCACGCTCCTTTGTCATGAGCAGTGCTGTTATTTCCATTGTACTGAGGAGGCAACTGAGGCTTGGAGCGGTGGTTAAAGTGGGCATTAAATGAGATAACCTTCGTTACACACTTAACGTGTGTGCAATGCAGTAAGCCTCTGATGAACGTCAGTCATTACTGTAACCATTACCTCGGAGGGAAATGAGCAAGTGCCGGCCCAAAATCGGTGCTGAGGGAGTCCTCAGGCACTGACACAGGGGTGTCTCACCAGGCCCCAGTCTCCGGAAGCTCCCAGTCTGACGGCAGAGGCGGTCACAGGCAAACCTCTCTCCACCACCGCCACACACAGCCCAGGGTGAGTGGGGCGAGTCAGGGGGGATGAGGGCCGTTTGTGCCCAGGAAGCCTCCGAACTGGCCAGGGAGGGAGGGCCTCTCGAAAGAGGCAACTTCTGCACTGAAACCTCCAGGGTAAGCGGGAGTTTGGGAAGATGGCAGGTTCTTAGTAAATGTTAATTGACTACAGTAAAGATTTACCTTGAAGTGAATGTAGTGTAGAGGACCTCTCATTCACCTGGTCCCTCCCAAGGCTCTGGAGGAAACCTTTCCATCATAAACTTCTGGACTGACTCATAGTTAAATGAATGAATAATAAGTGACACGGGAGGAAGGTGTATTCCAGGCAGAGGGCACAGCATGTGCAAATGCCTAGAGATTCGAAAGTGCGTGGCAGGTGACAGGGCCCCTGCCTCCGCCAGCCACATCACCCCGGCCCCTCTTTACACGTGTTGCTGGTCTTCTCACCAGCTTGGGAAACTCCAGCTGTCACCAGTGTGCCTTTGCCCACCTTGGTGCTCTCATCCACGCCGTTCTCCCATCCGGTCCACCCTTCCCATGACGTCACTGTATAGAAATAACCTAAACTTCGACGGTCAGCTCTGTGCCCACCTTCTCCAGGAAGCCACCCAGACCCCGCCAGCCTACGTAGCGCTCTCCCTGGTCTGGATTTCTATAGCCAGTGGTGGCTGTCGTTGCAGCCTGCTCCTTGTCGTGACTTCTCTTTTTGTGCCTGTGTCTGAGAATCCCAGAGGAGCAGAGAGCCTTGCAAGTGAGTGTCAAGCCTCTGCTCACATCCGGGCAGGAGAAGAACTCACTACCTTTGCAAAAAGCCTGTTCGGATTTAAACAGCACTCCCCTAAACCTGCCCCCCCTGCCACTGGGCCCCATCGGCCTGGCTCTGCCTGGACCTAGTCCAAGCCCTCTTTCCACCACAGCTGCTTCCGCAAGCTCCTCCTTTTCCTCTTCTGACATTCTATTGCTCAGGGCTGATCCACCGGTGCTAGAGTCCCTCCTCCTTCTGTCCCCTGCCCATGTGAAGGGACAGCTCTAATGGCAGCCACGTGGTCTGATGAGTCATGGTTAAGAGCATCTGGGGCCTAGGGGTGATGGCTGGTTAACTCCTCACGGGCCAGTGGTTCTTCCTGCCAGGAGACCAGGTGGGCTTCAACCCTGGCCCTGGACATAAACCTCAGGGCTGGGCCGGCAGTGGGCATCAGAGGAGTATTTTAGACCCCCACGTAGGCCCTGGGGATTCAGGGTGGAGCCAAGGGGGCAAGAGGCAAGAAAGTGAACTTCGTAGTCAGGAGGGCTGGTTCCAGTCACAACTTGCCCTCTGTTAGGTGAGTGGTTTTGAGCTAGTCACATCAACGCTGTACCTCAGTTTCCCCATCTGTAAAATGGCCGTGATGGGGATTATCTGAGAAGGCAAATGTGACCTGTTGGCTAGCAGAGAGTACCGAACCGCATTATTTTCCACCTCCTTGTGTTCTCAAACACAGTCACCAGCGGGCACGTGGGTGCAATTAAAATCCAAGCCTGATTCCGGGAGCCCCCCACCAATGAATGCAGTGGGATGATGGAGGGCTCAGGTCCAGGCGCTGCGAGGCAGGAGCTGTGGAGGAGGGAGAGTGGCAGGTCTAGAACTTTCCGGCCCCACGGAGGTGCGGCTGTGCAAGGCAGGAGCGAGCTCTGGGTCCCTGGGGGCCGCGCAGAGACGGTACCGGACATGGGCCGTGTAGGCCCTGGGCACCCGGGGCTCTCACCTGTCCGAGCCCGAGGTGCGGGGGTGTGGTGGGGGTGCATTCAGCTTGCGGGCCACGGCCACGGCCCCACTGCGCGGGTGGGCAGCCCGAGGCCCGGCCCGGCCCCGCCGCCTTCCCCGCCCCCGGCGCGCCCCTCCCCGGCCGCCGCGTCCCTGGCTCCGCGGCACAGCGCCCGGCTCGGGGTTCCGGCGGCTGCACCTGGGCCGCAGCTGGCGTCCGGCGGGGGCACGCGGCCCGCCCCGCTCCGCGATGACCACGGCTGGCGCCCCGGGCGCCCTGCCCGCAGGGTAAGTGCGCGGCGGGAACCGCTTGGGGGGCGCGGGCGGGTCTGGGCCCGGGGGTGGGGCGGGCGCCCGGCCGGCCTCCCGCGCACCACCTGCCCCGCAGCCCGCACTGCGGCTTCCAGCCCCTGCCAGGCGGCACCGCGCCCCCACCCCGTCCGCCCGTGGGGGCTGCGGCCGCGGGGAGGAGGGGAGAGGGCTGCGGAAACTCGCGCCAGGAGACTGGAGGCGCGGGCGGTCCTGGGTCCTCACGCCCCTCTGGGTCCCAACTTTCTCATCCGTAGTGACAGGCCTTTACTACAGTCAAAGCCGCCTTCCTCCCCTAGTGGCGTTTACACCTGTGGGTGGTCTCATTATCACCTCCATTACAGAGGAGGAAACTGGTCTTAGGTCACCCAGGAGGTGAGAGGTGGGTCCGGGGTTTGAACCCAGCTCCATCGGAGGCCAGAGCCCCCACCGGCAGGGCACGCGACCTCATCTTCAGGGGTGTTTGGAGGAGTTAAAAGGCTCAGAAATGAACCAGCCGAGCCCACTGGGTGCAGCCGGAAACAGGGCAGGAAAGATGGGTGCTGTCACTTTCAGTGTGGCTCTCCTGCCCACCACACTGAGAAACCCCGTAGGACCCCACACTGTCCCGGGAGCGGTGACAGCGATGAACTGCTGGGAGATAAGGACCAACTCTGCATTTCATAGCCCCTGGTGCTTAGGGGGCGCCGCGGGAGCCTGGACTGCCGGGAGGTTGCTGGGTGGAGATCCGGCCCAGGTGCGCTGGGAGGGGTGCCGCCCGGCCTGGAGCCTCAAGGCCAGGGACAATATTTGCCAAGGACCTCAGGGCTCACACAGGAGCAGTGAGTGAGGTGACGAGGCCGGTGCCAGCCCTCAGCTGGAGTCCTCCATGGGGCCTGGGTGAGGGTGTTCCTCCCGGAGGGCTTGGAAGGCGGGTGGCCAGGGGACACTCAGAGTTGTGGGGGGGTTGGCTGAGGAGTCTTGACTTGCCCTTTTGTTGTATGACTTTGGCCAAGTCCTAATCCTCCCTAGACTTATTTCTCTTTCTCTTTTTTCCGTCTTTCCTTCCTCCCTCCCTTCCTTTCTTGAAATTACTGGTGTGACATTGTTTTAATAAAATTACACAGGTTTCAGGTGTACAGTTCTATAATACATCATCTGTACATTGTGTTGTCAAGTCTCAAGTTCACCACCCCAAGTTAAGTCTCCTTCCATCACCATTTATTCCCCCTTTACCCTCCTATTTTCCCCACCCCACGTTCTCTCTGGTAATCACCATACTGTTGTCTATGAGGTTTTTGTTTTTGTTTTTGGTGGGTTTTTTCATAATCCCTTCACCTTTTTCACCCAGTCTTCCATACCCCTCCCCTCTGACAGCTGTCAGTCTCTTCTCTAATCTATGAGTCTGTTTCTATTTTGTTTGTTAGTTTATTTTGTTCATTACATTCTGCATATAAGTGAAATCATATGGTATTTGTCTTTCCCTGACTAGCTTATTTCATTTAGCATAATACTCTCCAGGTCTATGCTACCCAAAGCAATCTATAAATTAATGTAATTACAATGTAATTCCTATCAAGATACCAATGGTGTATTGCACAGAACTAGAAAGAACAAATATATCAAAATTTACATGGAACCACCAAAGACCCTGAATAGCAACAGCAATCTTGGAGGAATCACGCTATATGGTACCAGACTATACTACAAAGCCATAGTAATCAAAACAGCATGGTATTGGCATAAAACAGACATATAGATCAATGGAACAGAATAGACAGCCCAGATATAAACTTATGCCTTTATAGTCAATTAATACTTGACAAAGGAGGCAAGAACACACGATGTGGTAAAGGTAGTCTATTCAATAACTGGTGTTGGGAAAATTGGACAGATATCTGCAAAAAAAGAAAGAAAGAAACTAGATCATCTTCTTATACCATACACAAGAATAAAATCAAAACGGAGTATAGACTTAAATGTTAGATTTGAAACCATAAAAATTCTAGAAAAAAAAATAGCCAGGAAAATCTCAGACTTTTTTTTGTAGCAATATTCTGTAATATATCCCCTCTGGCAAGAGAAACAAAAGGAAAAAAAATAAACAAATAGGACTACATCAAACTAAAAAAGGTTTTGCACAGCAAAGGAAACCATCAACAAAATGAAAAGACAACTCACTGAGTGGGAGAGCACATTTGCTGATGATATAGCTGATAAGGGGTTAATATCCAAAATTTATAAAACAACTCATACAATTCCACACCAAAAGATAAACAATCCGAATGAAAAATGGGTAAAGAACTTGAATAGACACTTCCCCAAAGAGGATATACAGATGGCCAATAGACATAGGAAAAGATGCTCAACATCACTAATCATCAGAGAAATACAAATTAAAACTACACTGAGCTATCACCTCACGCCAATCAGAATGGCCATCACCAATAAATAAAAAAAAAACAAACCAACAAATGTTATCAAGGATGTGGAGAAAAGGGAACCCTTCTGCATTGTTGGTAGAATACAGATTGGTACAGCCACTGTGGGAAACAGTATGGAACTACCTCAGAAGGTTAAAAATGCAACTGTCTTGTTACCCAGCAATTCCACTTCTGAAAATATCTGAAGAAGTCCAAAACACTAATTCAAAAATATATATATACACCCTTATGCTCATTGCTCTCTAGACTTCTTGTCCCTCCTTTGAAAAACACAGGGAGGCTCCTGATGGCTCCTTTCCTGCTCTGGGCTGGTCTTTGTAAATCTGGAGCCTGCTTAGGTCTCTTCTGCACAGCCTTGACTGAGTACAACCCTACTAGGTCCAGAAAAGTGGTTTCCAGATCAGAAAGTAGGCACAACAGGGCACTTACAAGAAATTCTGAACTCCCAGACTAGACACCACATTTATCCCTCTTCCTTGCACACTTAGATCGTAGCCCATACCCTCTCTACAAGTCCAGGCTCCTCTGGCCCCTTACAGGCCTCCAGGTCAGTGAGCTCACTCTGCTATCACTGTTGGATCTTCCTCCTATTGAACCATACCCACCCACCTGCATGCTCTCCAGGTCCCTGTTTTCTTAGAGGCCACACAGGTCCATCTGCCTCTGGCCCTTGCCCTGGTTAATGCCATCCTGGTGGGGTCTGAGCAGAGCAGAGTCAAAGCAGTGCCACTTTCACCATAGACACTCATTCAGTCACTCAACAGACACCTCTGAGGCCTTTCTGGGCCTGGTCCTGTGTGTGAGGGTCAGTGGAAAACAAACCAAGCTTTCAATCTGCACCACTTCAAAAATCATGAAATAATAACTTCATGCCAAGATGGAGGTGTAAGTAGATATGCTTTACTTCCTCACACAACCAAAAGAAGGATAACAACCAATTTAAAAACAAAAAACCATCAGAACTGCCTGAACATCAAACTGTATGGAAGTCCAACACCAAGGAATTCAAGAAGAAACATTCTTCCAGACTGGTAGGAGGGGAAGACACTGGCAGCTGGAGCAGAGAAGACATGCTGTGAGGCTGTGGCTGGCAGACCAGGTGGTCCCACATTTGTGTGTAGATAAACCAGGAGGAACAACTGGGGAGTGAGACAGTCTGTGCAGCCCATGGTTCCACCACCGGGAAATAAAGCCTCAAAACCTCTGGCTTGTAAAAACCTGTTGGGGTTGTGGCTGTGGGAGAAACTTCCAGTCTCACAGGAGAGTTTGTTGGATGGGCCCATGAGGTCCTAGAATGTACACAAAACCATCCACCCAGGAATCAGCACCAGGGAAGTACCTAGAAGGGTGCAGTTCTCTTGTGGGAAGTGGGGGAAGTGACTGAAAGCAGGGTGAGAGCTGAGCAGGTGGCATTGTTCCCTCTCTGACCCCTCCCCCAAATACTGCACCACAATTCAGTGAAGTGCATTGCCCTGCCCTGTGAATACCTAAAGCTCCACCCCTTACAATGTAACAGGTGTGCCAAGACAAAGAAATATGGCCCAAATTAAAAAACAGATCAAAATTCCAGAAAAAAGAACTAAATGACAAGGAGATAGCCAACCTGTTCAATGTAGAGTCTAAAACACTGGTAATCAGGATGCTCACAGAAATGTTTGCGTACAGCTGCAAAATAAAGGAAGAAGTAAAGGCTATGCAAAGTGAAATAAAGAAAAATATACAGGGAACCAACAATGAAGGGAAGGAAACTGGGACTCAAATCAACCATTTGGAACAGAAAGGAAAAATAAACATTCAACCAGAACAGAATAAAGAAACAAGAATTCCAAAAAATGAGGAGTGCCTTAGGAACCTCTGGGACAAGTTTAAATGTTCCAACATCCAAATCATAGGGGTACCAGAAGGAGAAGAGGAAGAGCAAGAAATTGAAAACTTATTTGAAAAAATAATGAGAGAAAACTTTCTCAATCTGGCAAAGGAAATAGACATACATGTCCAGGAAGCCCAGAGAGTCCAAAGAGGAGCACACCAGGACACATGATAATTAAATTGCCGAATATTAAAGATAAGGAGAGAATCCTAAAAGCAGCAAGAGAAAAGAAGAAAGTTACCTACAAAGGAGTTCCCATAAGAATTTCAGCTGATTTCTCGAAAGAAACCTTACAGGCAAGAAGGGGATGGAAAAAGTATTCGAAGTCATGAAAGGCAAAGACCTACATCCAAGATTGCTCTATCCAGTAAAGCTATCCTTTAGAGTGGAAAGGCAGATAAAGTGCTTCTCAGATAAGGTCAAGGTAAAGGAGTTCATCATCACCAAGCCCTTATTATATGAAATGTTAAGGGGACTTATCTAAGAAAAAGAAGATCCAAATTATGAACAGTAAAACTGTTCCTAATTTAAACTCACAGCTATCAACAACTGAACCTAAAAAAACAAAAACAAACAAACTAAGCAAAGAAATAGAACAGGAACAGAATCACAGAAATGGAGATCACATGGAAGGTATCGGCAGGAAGGGTGGAAGGGGAAAATGGGGGAGAAGGTAGGAATAAGTAGCATAATTGGCAGGTACAAAATAGACAGGGGGAGATTAAGAATAGTGTAGGAAATGGAGGAGCCAAAGAACTTATACGTACAACCCATGGACATGAACTAAGGGTGAGGGAATACTGGAGGGAACAGGGGTACTGGGCGGAGGGTGATCAAGGGGAGAAAAAATGGGACAATTGTAATAACATAATCAATAAAAAGTACTTAAAAAATCATGAAATATATGCTTACCTGGCAGGGGAGACACCAAGATCACAAAAGTGGGTTACCCTAGGTGAGGCTTATCTAGTGCGCTCTGGATGTGCTGACCCCTGCGATTTCCCCAAATGTTGGCAATTGGACTGCATAATTTGTGTCGTGGGGGACTGTGTTCACGCTCTCCCCTGGCAAAAAAAAATTGTGAACTATTTTAAGCCTTCAGAAAAATATAGCAAACAGCGAAGGGAACTCCAGGCCTTTGGCACTCAGCCGTTTCAGAACACGCCGTCACGCCCCGTTTGTCTCACAGTCTTTCTGAGGAAGGAGCCCTGGCAGAGAACCTCTTCCCCTCTTCCCTCTGCAGAAATAATCGCCATTCTGAATTTCAGTTTTATCATTTTGTATTCGTTTTTGTTCTTTTTCCAAGTGTGTAAGTCTTAAAAAATATGTAGTTTGTTCTTTTTTTAAAAATATGTATATAAGTGGAGCCACACAGTGTGAGTCGTTCTGTGGCTTGCTTTTCCCACTTAGTCCGAGTTACTGAGTTTTCTAGATCCTTGTGGCTCCGGCCCCCAGGTGCCCGGATGGTGATACACCACTTGGTATGACCCCCGTTTGCTTGTTTATCCAGCCTCCTTGATAATTACTGAGGTGGTTCCCAGTGTCCTGCTATTCAAACAATGAATGTTCTCATACAGTTGTCCTTTGCATGTATGTGAGTGTCCTTCTAGGTTGCCCCGTAGGAGTAGAATCACAGGGTCTTAAGGTATGTATACTCCTTTTAAAGTTATCTCGCCTCATTATAAAAGCAGAGGTGCTCAATAAGAGAAATGATGGAAATACATAATCTTAGAAACAATAACAATCACATTTTCTGAGTCCTTCATGTGCTTTAACATGATCTCAGTTGTTCTTCACAGTATATGGGAGGTTCCCCCCATCTCCCATTCATTGATGGGAAAACTGAGGCTCATAGAGGTTAAAGCATCTCGCCAGGTTTCTTCAGCAAGTACTTGGGTGACCTGTGGCTTGAGTCCAGGGTTGTCTGCTTTCAAAGCCCTTGAAGGCCACGCTGCACTAGGTCATGTCACCTCACTCTATGCTACATGATGATATTTTCTTTATGCAGAGCTAAGGGGGATTCTTTGGAAGTGGACTCACAATCGTGTTTATAATTTAGAAAGGTCACTTTGGAAGTGCCACATCCCTACAGACATAATGTCTTCACCCCCTGAGCCAAAGTTCCCCCAGATTGGTGAAACAGGGAGTAAAAAGCCAGCTCAGACCCCCATCTGCTCCCTGAATAACATCCTTGCCCTTTCTCCACTCTCCCACAGCCACCTCACCCAGACTGGGTCAGGGAAGGGGAGTTTTCTGCCCCCCACGGGGACTGAGGGTCTCCCTAGCTCTACCCAGCTCTGCCCATCAGTCACTAAGGTAGCAGCTTCCAGGAAGATTAAAAGCAGGGCGGTGAGACTGCCGGAGAGAGTGGGGTGGCTCCTGGCTGTCTGATGCTCCCCACCCGGTTTCCAGCCTCCTTCTTACCTTGGCCTCAAGTGTCCCTCCCCCACTATGCCAAAGCTCCTGACACTGGTCACCATCCAGCTTCATTCTCCAACCTGCTTAGTGCCCCCTCTAATCTTCTGTTTCCCCAAAGCCCAGAGGAGGGGCCCCCATCACCACTTGGGAGCTCAAGAGTATAATGGCCTGGTGGCTTGGAGCAGAAAGACCTTGGGGAAAGCCTGTGGACAAGTGGGGACCTCAGTCAGCCAGGAGAGGAGAAGGGTTTGCTCAAGCTGCTTTTGCAGAAACATTTCTGTCTTCTTCCAGGCTTTTGGGAGGAGCAGACTGGGTTCCTGTCTTCACTTTCTTATCTTTCAAATGTAGATAAGAGCCTGCCTGCCTCTCCCGGCTGGTAGGAGGATTGAGAGGACCAATTAGTCATCAATTTAGATGACTTGAAGTGATAATTTGGGGTGGTTGTTAATGCTGTTATTAAGTCACTGGGCCCAAGGTCCCTAGGCTTCCGGAGCTCCCCAGCCCCTCCCTCCCCCAGCAGGCCTTCCAGAGCCTCTGCCTCCCTGCCCCGCCCTGTGGCTTGGGCCTGCTCCTCACTGTGGTGTCATGTCTCCAGCCCTTTGCTCACACTCTTTCCCCTTCTTAGACTTCTTTTCTCCATCTGGCCCTCAATTCAGTGCCATCTTTTCCAGAAAGCTTCCCTGTATGCCCCACCCTCCCTCCAGGCCTCCTCAGTCCCCAGTGGACCCCATGAGGGCTCTGGCCATCACAGCCTCTGCCTGTCACAACCTCTGCCCTCGTCTGTGGCATCTGTTGTTCCCATGAGCTCCGGAAAGGCAGGTCTAGGTCTGGGTCTGCTCTGTGTCCCCAGGCCTGGCCAGGAGCTGGAGACGAGGGGTATTTGTGGGCGGGAAGGAGGGAGAGGTCACCTCAGGCCCAGCACCATAGTTAAGTAGAAGAGGTGCCGGGGCCGCCAGGGGAGGGCACGCATGCCTGTGTTGTGTGTCCATCTCTCTGTGCCTCCTTCTCTCCAGGCTCCCCAAACAGGTAGAACCTCTTCCTCGGTGGGGGTGAAGATGGTGGTGGTCAGGGGGCGGGGCGTTGCACAGACATGGGGGGTAGGCTCTTGGCTCTGGAGCTGGGTAGAGATGGACATAAGCCAGGACAATGGACTTGACTCCTTGGGGCTGAGCGGGTGGGCACTGGCTTGGGCAGAAACGAGTTAGAACCCGTGCTTGGGCATGTGACCTTGGCCAAGTCACCTGTCCTCTGTGCCTGGGTCTCCTCATCAGCAGTGGGGGAGGTAACCCACTTCACGGGTCAGTGAGGGCTCAGGGAGACAATGCCAGTTAAACACCTGGGGCCGTCAGTGCTCACTGCCTCTTCATCCGTCCATCCAGCTGAGCTGGGTGGACAGAATGGGCTCAGCCCTGGGCACAAAGGAAGACACTTTCCCTGTCTCATGAAGAGAGGGACAGGGCTGCTTCCGGTGGGGCCATTTTGGCCACAGAAAGGCACTTGGTCTTCATCCTAAGAGCACTGAGAAGGCAGTGGAGGAGTGCAAGACCCGAAGTGTGACATGGTTATGTCTGGATTGAAAAAAAACTTCCTATCATGAGAGGGATAGATCAGAGGAAATAATACTTCTAAACATTTTCCTTTTTTTTTTTTAAAGAAGGATTTTATTTACTTATTTTCAGAGAGAGGGGAAGGGAGAGAGAAAGAGAAGGAAAAAAACACCACTGATGTGAGAGAAATATCAGTGAGTTGCGTCTTGCGCGCCCTCAACTGGGGACCTGGCCCGTCACAACCCAGGCATGTGCCCTAATGGGGAATTGAACCAGCAACCTTTCAGTTTGCAGGCTGGTGCTCAATCCACTGAGCCACACCAGACAGGGCTCTAAAATTCTTCTTAAAAATAAACCCAAACCAAACTAAAACAGAACAAACCAAAACAAAACCCTACCTAGAGGCTGCATGAGTTAAAACAAACATCCTTTGAAATACATTCCTGAGCTTCCACAGAAGTAACAGAAATCCTCTCAAGCCAACAATAAAGAGAGGGCTGAGATTAGGCTGGTGAATGAGCTACAGCCTCAGCAACCTGGGGGGATTTACAAATTCCGGAAACCCAGAACCTTGAGTTGTAACAGCCCCTCAGGGGAAGGGAAGTAAGGTCTTGGGCCTGCGCCCCCTCCACATGAATCTGGGGCCTTCAAAAGTCTTCAGCAAACAGGGACATTAATCAGAACAAAACATCCAGCCACCTGCAATGCGAGACAACAGTTCTGGTGGGGACAGAAAGGTTCTGTAGAAAATTATATTGCCCTCACACAAATTTTGGGCTTCAATACAACACTGTCTTTGTCACCTTGAATGTACTAAACAGAAAAGTAACTAAAGCAGACTCAGGGTGGCAGTGCCCCAGGGTATCTGGTGAAGTGAGTGAACATCCTCCCTGGAGGAGCGGCCTCATCCCAAGGGGACCGACCAAGGAGGAGATCAGGGTAAAAGTACAAGACACACAAGGACTCGAGTCCCTGTGAACGACAGGCACCAGAAGCAAGAAATGGCAGGATTAGTTTCTTGGAGAGTCTAACGTGCTAGACTTATGATATATAGAATATAAATGTGTAAATGTGTAAAAAAAAATTTAAAGATGTGCTTGAATCAATAAGCCGGGAGAAAAATACCACCCAAAATGGGCAAGCATATTTGAAAAAGAAAAAGTAGAGTTTCTGGAGATGAAAAATACAACTATTGAAGTGAAGAGAATTAGTGAAACGGACGATCTAAAGAAATCACTCAGACTCTAACAGAGAGAGTCAAAGAGGTAGCAAAGAAGAGAGTAAAGAGACATGGAATACAGAGTAAAATGGTCTAACAGAGGGAGGGAGAAGGGGTGGGAGGAGGAGTCTTCCCCGAGACCCGGCTCTGGGGGGGCACGGCCACTGCAGGCGGTGGGCTAAGAGGTGTTCAGGAGGGAGAACTGACAGGATTCAGGGATGGAGTTGACGACAGAGGCCGGACAGAGGACTGTGTTCAGGATGACTATGAAATTTGGGGCTTGAGGAGCTAGGTTGCGGGGCGTGTCGTTTATCAAAGACTTGGGGAGACCGGGTTTGGGAGAACAGACAAGAGTTGACTTTTGAATGGGACGAGTTTCAGTTTGCCCGGGAAGATCCGCTGATGCATCTCGGAGGAGGAGACTGGGCCTTAGAGCTGGGCCTTAAGGTATGTGTAGGAGTTTATCTGGTGGAGAAGGGACTTGGTCTTCATTTATGGGGAAAAGGATCTTCGGCAAGATCATGGAGGCCCATTTTGGAACCTTCTCTTACTCTAAAGAGACCTCTTGAGACGAGACATTCTCAAAATCATCAGCTAGGACTTTGGGAGCTTCTAGTTTGATCTCTCATTTTCACATGGGGAAGCTGAGGCCCAGAAAAGTCAGAGATTTGCTCTCTTAACCTTAGACTCTCATTCATTCATTCACTCACTTAGCAGATACTTAGAAACTCATTTTATACCAGATACTAGATGCTGGGGGTGTGGCAGGAAACAAAACAAAGATTCTTTCCTCAGGAAGCATATATTTCAGCAGAGAGAGACTATAAACACAAACACAAAAATAAGTAAAAACTGCGTGCCAGAAGGCGGTAAGAGCTATAGAGAAGTGGAAGGCCTGGAAGGTGTTGGAGGTGCTGCTGGGAAGGCCGGGCAGCCCTGCAGGCCCGTGCCCACTGCAGCCCATTGTGACAGAGCCTCGGGTTCTAGAGCACTGGCCGGAGGGGCCAGAGAAGGCCCAGGGAAGGAGCAAGAAAAGGACCGAAGCGGAATTTAGTGGGTGGGCTGTGCCCCCTAGGGGGGCACAGAAAAGCCCAATGGGTCAGAAGGGCCACAAAGATTCCCTTTACGCCTGCGATGGGTAAGACAAATCTCTCTCTTCCTTGCCGCTCTGTCCTCCGTCCCCCTCCACCCCCTCCACCCCATCTCCGACGTCACTCCAATCTGCCCTCCTTCCGCCTTTAGGAACATTTAGAAGTGGGTCCGAATTGTCCTTGTGTCCCAATGGGTGGCCCGGAGGAGCTCGTGACAGGCACCCAAGGCCCACCAGGGAGGTCAGGTGGGCCCTGGGCCCTGAGAGGCTGTTCTGCGCAGGAGTGGGTTGAAGTCGCCGGAATCACGCCCGCGTGTCTCTCCTCAGGACTGCTGTGAGCAGCCTCCATGAGGCCCTGGACCAGTGCATGATCGCCCTGGACCTCTTCCTCACCAACCAGTTCTCAGAAGCACTCAGCTACCTCAAGCCCAGGTGAGTCTCAAGCCCAGGTTGGGGGGGGGGGTAGGAGGTGCACCTGTGTGTGCACCTGTGGGAGCCCATGTGCGAGTGTAGGGACGGGGGTTGCGGGGTCGTGGAGAACCAGACATCTTCTGAGAGAGGGCCCCTAGGAACTGAATGCCTTCAGCCTTCTGGGTCACGGTGACCCCTGGGAGCCCCATAAACACAGCCCTGTTCCACAGCTGTGAGCAGCCAGCCCTCCCCAAGGTCACTGTGACTTCCTTCCTCCTAACTTCTCCTGGCCCCTTCTATTTTGATTTCCTGTTCCCACTGAACCCACCAGGGGCTTCTTCCCCATCAGTTAACACAGCCCCTTTTCTTTATTTTCTCCCAAAGTGCTAAAGACTAGGGCTGCCTTTTTGGGTAATAATCCCAGTCACTTAGCTAATTCTTCTAGGGTTACTGCCTTATTTCTAAATGATCTGTTTTTCGCTTTCTGCAGTTTTTCAGAAACTGAAATTAACATAAAGTTCTCTCTGTTACTTTCTACATTTAGACTCATCTGTGGGTAAACAAGAAGTTAGCTTTCCTCTACCTCTGCCCCGTCTCCCTTCCCTCACCTCCCTCTTATCATTGTATCACAATATTTGGCTAAATCAACAATAAATGTTTACATTATTATAGCTATGTAGTTAATGCTCACCACAGAGACAAGTTGTACATGTACAAAGGAAAAGACTACATTTCCTTTCCAGAGTTACTAATTGTCTCATTTTTTTCACTTGCCTAATTTACTATACATTTTCCCTGAATTCTTTTTTTTTTTTTAAAGATTTTATTTATTTATCTTTAGAGGGGAAGGGAAGGAGAGAGGGAGAGAAATATCAATGTATGGTTGCCTCTCATGGGTCCCCTGCTGGGAACTGGCTTGCAACCCAGGCATGTGCCCCGACCTGGAGTCGAACTGCAATCCTTTGGTTTATAGGCCCGTGCTCAATCCACTGAGCTACACCAGCCATGGCTCCCTGAATCCTTTATAACCACTCTGTTAGACCCTACTATTGCGAGCTCTTCCCTAAAAGCTCAGACATGTGAGGTGGGCACTCAGTTCCCCCTTGTCCCGGAAACCTGTCCCCCGGAGGACAGTCCTATCTCTAGCCCCGCCCTAGCCGTCTCCCAGAACTCCCCCCGGCTTTTTCTCTCTTGAATCCTCCCTCATTTTACCAGAGCATGACCTCTAGAAACTTCCCAAGAAACTGTTGCATGTATATAATTCTTTCTCATCAGAATTTTGAAGGTATTGTGCCTTGTTTTCTAGTCTCTACTGTAGCCGTGAGAACCCTGATTCTTCTCACTTTGCACGTGACCTTTATTCCTCTCTGGGAAAGAGGCTCTTCTCTTTTATTTCTGCACGTTGTAAACTTCACAATGACATGCTGGAATGTAGTTTTTTTGTTTTTTACATTTTATTAATTTATTCTTAGAGAGGGGAAAGGAGGGAGAAAGAGAGGGAGAGGAACATCAGTATGTGAGAGACACATGATCAGTTGCCTCCCCGCAGGCCCCAACTGGGGACCTGGCCCCAGGCATGTGCCCTGACTGGGAATCAAACCAGCGACCTTCTGGTTCGAAGGCCAACACGCAGTCCACTGAGCCACACCAGTGAGGGCTCTAGGCCTTTTTATTTGGTACATTTAACTCGAGACTCTGTGTTTCAGTTCTAGAAAATTCTCTTGGATCATCCCTCCAAGTTGTTTCCCCTTCCTGAGCTTCTTTTAAGTCGGATGTCAGACTTCCTCGGTCAGCCCTCTTCTAAGCCTCTTATCACCCCCTGCCCCCAATTCAAAAGGTTTTATCTTTTTGTTTTTTTCTGATTTCCGGGAGATCTCCTCAATCTTATCATTAAATCCTTCTACTGACTTTTCTTTATTCTTATAATTAGCATATGTGATTAATTTCCTACTACTCCTCATTGTTCTCTAAATATTCTCAGTTCTTTATATCTGTGTTTGGAATGTGAGAGTCCTTAGCTCAGGGTCTGGCCCAGAGCAAGCACTCGAATGAGTATTTATTGTTATTATCACCAAGAATATTGTCTCTTTCAAACTTGTTTTATTCTTTTCCTGCGTAATCTCAGCCTTGCCCAGGTCCCCTATTCTGTTTAATGAGGGAAGTCTCTACCTGTGCAGGCTTTCCCTAACGCCCGCTGTTGCCTGGCTGTTGACATGGTCCTATTTAGGAGTGAGTTTCTTAAAGGGCCGACTGGAAAGTCCAAGCCAAGCAGCCTTGTAACTGGTGGCGTCAACTTCAGGATGATCTGGCCACAGATGTCCACTTCTCCAGAGAAGCCTCCTCCATTCCTCAACCTGGACAGGGAGCCCGGCTGCCTGCACTCGGGTTGGGGTGGGGGCTGTGGGGGTGGTGGGGGCGGGGCCTCATCGTGTCTGGGGCCTGCTTACCCTCAATCCACTCTCTTCAGCTCTAGGTTGTCCTCTGCCACACCTGGTTCCTCAAGCTCCCAGGAAAGGCAAAGAGTGAGGCCAGGGGTCCTCCTTCCCCAAGCCTGACCTGTCCAATATCTCTAGTCTTGACTGACCCATTCATTGTTCTGCCGGGGTCAGTGGCTCAGCTTCTGGGGGGCGGGGTTTCCAAGGCAGGATGATCGCCATGCGTCTTACAGCAGGGCTCCCGCTGCAGCCCCTCACCTCATCCCCGTCCTCTGAGGGGATCGGGCGTGGGCTGGGGTCAGGCCAGGCGAGCAGAGGCCTGCAGCCTGAGGGCAGCCATCCTCTGAGGCAGGCCAGGCCTCTTCCTGCTCTGTCCCCAAACATCCGGTGTCCCCTTCCAGTGTCTTTGGAAGGCTCCTGACTCCACTTCCATCCTGGTCATTCCCTGTTCCTTACTCAGCCCTGACCCCCAGACTGTGGCTGCCTCCCCTCAGTGGCCAGGCTGCCCGGGGTGCAGCTGCTCTGCCCGTCCTACCCACTCCAAGCACAGACACTAGCCCGACTCCTTATCCCCTAAAGCCCAGCTAAGACTGGCCATCCCTTGGTCTAACTTTAAACTGTCCTGCAGACACGGGGCCGACAGAAGGGAGGCGGGGCCCAGAGGAAACTGTTAACACCAGACGCCAGCTGCACCCGTCCCTCAAGTTGTACCCACCACAGAGCCCCAAAGGGACCCCCTGCGGCCCCTCCTCATCACCTTCCCTCATCCTGAAGGTGGCACCCCAGAGAGACAGTCTTCCCACGAGGCCACCTTTTACCACACACGGAAGGCAGTGCAGCTTCTCTTTATCCCTATTCTGGAAAAGGATCTTTGCTTTCTTTCTGAATTTAGGAGTTTCCCCCTAAACAGTAGGTGTCAGTAGCGTGCTCCTCAAGCTCCTGTGACAAAAAATGTTTCCAGATGTTGCCAAATGTCTGGAGGCGGCAAAAATACCTCTCCACCCCAGATAAGGACCACTGCTCTCCAGAAAACAATTCTTGCTCAGAACGGCCTTCCCTCCGCAGTCATGGCCATTGAAGCTTGGAACGATGCTGGTCTTCAGTTCCGTTCACTGTTCCTCGCTGTTTACCAAGTGTCTCCTTTCACCGTCCTAATCCCAGGCGGTGGGGGCTGTTACTGCTCTTTTGCCTTCAGGGAGCTCCTGCTGGCCCCGCTCCTTCCGTTTGTCACTGGTTGAGTAGTGTTGTCTTTGTTTCAAGTTCATTTTGATGGACGCTGTGTCTGTCCCCAAACGCTGTCTCTGGAACATGGTAGCTACTCCATTCCGGTCTTCTTGATGAAAAAATGATCGTAGCTGACAAGTTGCAGAGCCAGGATTCAAGTCCAGGCCCACCCAGCTCCACAACCCATGGCCTCGGGGCTGTCTCGGATCTTGAGCAGGTGGAATAGTTTACTCTGGGTGGGAGGACTCACACCTGCCTCCTCCACCACGAGGGAGGGAGGGCGTGTGCCAAGTGCAGGAAGTTCAGCGTGTTTTCATGCTATGCCCTGGGGCTCCGCTGAGGAAAGAGGCAAAGCCCCTCGCTGAGAGTGAGGGGCAGGCTGGGGTTGGGGTGAGGGAGGAGAGGGGAAAAGTTCTAGTGTGCCAGGTCTGGCTGGGGTTGGTGGCCTCTGCTCAGAGTGTGCCTGTGTGGCTGGTGGCTTCCTTCAGGGTTGGTTGGGACAAAGTGGGCAGTTGTGCGGCCATGGTTCCTAAGTGGGTGCAGCAGGAGGTTGGAAGGCTGAGCAATGAGTATTTCACAAGAAAGCGGCTGCTATGAAGAAGTAAGTTGAGACATCAGGAAGAGAAGACAGGCTGGAGTGGGGGGAGGGGCGGGGCGCTGAGCCAAAGTGGGAGGGTAGGGAGGTGGCATCATTTCCGGCTCCGGAGGCAGAGGTATTCTGTGGTATGATGAGGTCAAGGTGTGATCCATGGGAAGGGGTGGTTTGGGCACCTGTTCCTGGTTCATTCAGCAAAACCTCATGAGTGTTCACCTGGGCCCAGCCATGTGCTGGGTTCTGGGGCTGCAGTACCGAGCGAGGCTTGGGCTGTTCTCAGTGAAACAAGCACTGAGGGGTGTCAGGAGTTATACCTGGACCCCAAACTCATGGGGAGGGGCTAGTCAGGAAGGCTTTAGGGCTGGCCACTTAATTTCTGGGGCTCATTGCAAGATGAAAATATGGGGTCCTGTTCAAAAATTGTTAAGGATTTCTAGACAGCAATAGCAGAACATCAAACCAGGAGAGCGTGGGGCCTTTTTAGGCAAGAAGCCCAGTGCCACTGCACAGATCCCACCATGCAGCCAGCTCTGGACGCCTTCCTGGAGGAAGTGACACTGAGGCTGAGGTGGGCTGCGTGAGGAGTCAGCCAGGTGGAGGACATTTCTAGGCAGAGCGAATGTTGTGCAGAGGCCTTACAGTGATGGAGGGAGGGTCTGGTGCATTTGAAGAACAGAGGCACTTGGCCTGGTTGGAGTGAGGAAAGCTGAAGCAGGTCCCAGGAGGGAGAGGGCTGGGTGGTGGAAGGGGGGCTGGGAGCACAAGTGCCCTACAAGGTGGTCGGGCTGGAGAAGAGGGCAGTGAGGTGGGGTCTGAGAGGACCTGGATGTGCAATAGGAGGGCTTTAATTACAGTGAAGGAAATAAAAAGGGAGGTGGTAGGGTGCTGTCCCCGCCTTCCGGTCTAGTGCAGCCTGCCCAGAGAGGCCCTCGGAAGTGGGGCCTCAGGCTGGGACTCAGGGGGTGCCCCAGGAAGGATCAGTGGGGGTTGGGTCAGAGCCAGGAGACCCAGATGATGGGGACAAAGATGGCAGACAAGCAGCTGACAAGGGCCTGAGACTTGGCTGCTGGTGTAGGCAGGAAGGGCTGGAGGCCATTGAGCTTAACCGACCTCCAGGTGGCCACGGAGTCCCTGGTTCCACACCAGCTCTTCTGAGGGCTCTTCCAGTGCCCTCCCCCTCTTCAGAGTCGGTCTGGACCCAGAAGGTGGGACCCTGGTGGGCATGATGTCCCATAGCCGGTCTAGCTCGGAGGTGAGGGGGCTGTTTCTCCCAGGGGTCCGGATGCTGTATGTGCAGATGAGAAGTCTGTGGTGTGCACACTGAACTTGGAGTGTTTGAGGGCAGGGAGGTTGTGATACCTCTGTATCCCAAATCCCAGTCCATTCCATAGTTGGGGAGCTCCCAGGTGGTGGGCTGGGGAAAGGCCAGGACCATGCTGTGGCCTTGGGCCTTAGACTGGAAATTCCACTTTGCCTGCCAGCTTCCCTGGGATGGGGTGGGGGGGTGCTGTTCCTCCTTGTGGGCCCAGCACCAGACTGGGTTCAGCACGTGGTTTGAGTGGGTGGAGCTGGGGTGGGGGTTAGGGGAGAGAGGAAAAGAAAGTCAGGGGCTTGAAAATTAGAGAGGCCTGGCGGGAGGGGGCTGTCGGGAGGGGGGCATGGCTTTGGGTCTGTGTGCTGGGGAGAGACCCCTCCCCATGGAGAAAGCTTTCATCCGAGGTAATGACTCTCGACCCTGGCTGGACACAGAGAGACTCACATTTATTGATCATTGGCCATATGGCATCCTATTTAAGCCACCCGAGGTCTGGGAGAGAAGGATTATTGTATCCCTTTTACAGAGAAGAAACCTGAGGCTCAGAGAGGCTGCAAGACTCACCAGAACCACACAGCTGGTAACTAGCAAGGCCAAGATTCCAACCTGTGTCTGAGGGACTCTGAAGCCTGAGCTCTGCCCCCACCGCGGGCTTCGGACTCCTTGCCACAGGCCGCTGCCCTCAGACTGAACAGTTCCAGCAGAGATCTGGGAGGTGTCCCAGCTGGGCTGCTGAGGGGGGGGCCAGCCATTCGTCTCCTTCCCAAACCTTTGACTTCCAAGGATAATGTCACCTGAGGGCCACTCAGAAGTGGGGTGGGGGGCAACTTAATTTACAGAGGTGTTTTGTGAATGAGAAAAGCAGGAAAATGCATAAAGTCACGTGATTATGACTGTACAATAGAACAGTCTATAAACCTTGGTCATCCTTTTGCTCTGCAGTTCCCAGTGTAAGCCTAGCACTTAGGAGTTTCATAACTAATTAACAAGGGGATGAAGGGAAGGGAGCGAAACCACTGCAGCACCTACTGTGTGCCAAGCAAGGGTATTCCCCAGCCAGCACCACACGGAGCTCGCTGGGCAGGCCAGCGTCATCACCCCCATTTTGCAGAAGCATAAATCAAGGCCCAGCCACACTCTGACTTCCCCGAGTGCAGAGAGGGACTGGCTTTGTTCTCATCCCTCCCTGCCTGCCGCTCTCTCCGTGTGTTAGACTGAATGTCCCCTCCCTCACCCCCAGCCCCAGCACACCCTTTCACTGAGGGCTGGAGGGGGAGGCTGCTGCCTGAGGTCGGCTTGTTTGGTCCTGTACGTGCCGTTGAGGACAGAGATGTGTCCCCCACAAGCTCTGTCCCGGAGGTGCCCGCGGTCTGGGGAGAGAGCTGTGCTTCAGCAGATGTAGGTGCAGTGGGGGCCTTACTGTGGTCACAGACACCTGCCCCCTGAGGAGGGAGCCCTGGGTTCCCAGTGGCCTGGGAGGCATTTAAAGGCCCCGACAGTCAGGCGACATGAGGGTAGGGGAAGGGCATTTCAAGCTGAGGGAACAGCATGCGCAAAGGCCTGGGAGCAGGGCGAGTGTGGGGTTTTCTTGCGGAGAGCATGTGTGGTTGGGTCTTGAATGTGATCAGATCACAGAGCGGAAGTGACAAGAGGGCTGGGCTGGAGAGGTGGGCGGGGCCCGCACTGAGCGGAGCCTCGGACCGGAGCGCTATCTCTCGGGATGTGGGAGCTACAGAGGGTTTCACCAGAGAGACACAGTCAGGTAGGTGGTGGAATGGGAAGAGGCAGGAGGTGGGAGGCCAGTGCGGAGGTCCAGGAAACACGCACTGGACAAGGCCAGTGGTGGGGCTTGAGGACAGAAGAGACCCCACCGACGGGACCTGGGCTCCGCCTGTGGGGGGCAGGGCAGAAGGCGAGGGGCCGGCCCAGGCTGAGGGAAGGGAAGTGTGGTCTCGGGCCAATTTTAACTGAGCTTCACAGCAGCCTAGTTGCTGCTCTCTGTGCAGAACGGAAGAGAAACTGAGGCTCAGATCTGGAAAGTCACTTACGGCCCCCTCAGCTGGGACCTGAGGTCTTTCAACCTTGGACAAGTGCCTTCCCCTCCTTGGCCCCCATGCAGACGGGAGAGGGGATGGTGGCTGGTTGACACAGGGCTGGCTGTCTCTGGAGTCCTAGGAGTTGGGGCTCTCATGTCCTTTCTCTCCGGCAGGACCAAGGAGAGCATGTACCACTCGCTGACCTATGCCACCATCCTGGAGATGCAGGCCATGATGACCTTTGACCCTCAGGACATCCTGCTCGCTGGCAACATGATGAAGGAGGCGCAGTTGCTGTGTCAGAGGTCAGGCCACGGGGCGGGCAGGGCTGAGGGGTGGGGAGGCCCATCCTTCTGTCACACTGGCCTATCCCAGGGCCTGAAGTGCTGTGATGAATGCTGCTCCTTTCAGCTAGAAGGATGTGTCCCCAAGTGCTAACACCGGTCCCTGTCAGCACTGCCTGGGTACCTTCTTGTCCGAGCCACTGACTTAGCGGCTCCCAGGGGCCAGGTGTGATTGGGAGGAGGCCAAACCTGGCTGTCCCTTAATAAGCCTTTGGCCTTGGGCGAGTCCCTCTGGGGACCCGGCTTTCCCCGTCTATAAAATGGGTATGATGATAGGGTTGTCCCGGGGGCTACAGGCAGGTGCCATCACAGGACCTGCCGTGTAATGGGTTTAGTATATGCTAACTGCTTAACTCAGTGAGGCGACAGACCCCGCGTGTGGTGCGCATGTGGCCGTCATTCGGCGGGCACACACTCGTTCTTGCCCTAGGCTAGGCCCTGTGCTGGGTGCTGGCCACCCAGGGAATCGTCAGGCCTGGGCCGCTTGACGCTCACACTGCCTGGTGGGAAGACAGCCATAGACAGAGACAGCTCAGCCTGGTGCCCAAGAGGTCGTGGGGGAGCAGGAAAGGCTTTTTGGAGGAGGTGGTGCCAGAGCTGGTGAAGGGTGACTGGGAGCAGTGAGGGAGGGGGGAGCTCCAAGCAGAGGGAAGAGCCGGGACACCAGTGTGAGAAAGCCCTGAATTTGGGGGAGTTGCCAGGCGTTCAGCGTGGGGCTGGGGCGGGGGGGGGGGGTCCTCCGGGAGGGGCAGATACAGTCAGAGTCCAGCTGGGACCCTCACGCACCTTCCCTGAATGATGGGAGGCCCCTTTCCGCTCCCTAGGCACCGGAAGAAGTCCTCCATGACAGATTCGTTCAGCAGCCTGGTGCACCGCCCCACTATGGATCAGTTCACGGAAGGTGTGGCCTCCCTCATCCAGGATGTCTTCTCTATCCTGCTGGCCCCAGGCAGCCCAGTTCCAGGCCTGGGAGGGGCAGGAAGGGGCAGTTATCTTCCCAGTCCCACTGAGGGGGCAGGGCCCTGGCCTGATGCTGGGACACTCGTGTGCCAAACCTAGGGACTTTTGAGGAGTGGCTCTCAGGTGATGGGAGAGCAAACAAGACTCACTTCCTTGATGGCATTACCTGCTAAGGGCCTGGAAATCCAGGAAGGAAAATGCATAAAGTCTGTGTACTTTGTTCCTCAGGCCAGGGGGGCTCAGCGTTGCATGTGCAGTTAGGGTTATTGGCCTGACTGTAGTAGTGATGGACCCCTTGTGCCCCAGGGGGAATATGGGCTAGAAGCTGACACAGGAGGGGCGGGAACTGAAAGCAGTGGAGGAGATGGTCCAGGCTGCCAGCGCCTGCATGGCGTTTTCAGTTCTGCAGGCAGCAGCAGCCACCCATGAGCGATTTGGGGCTCTTCAATATAGGGGCAAATGTCCTTCCCCACCTGGAGAGCCCTAGAAGATTCCAGCAAGAAACAGTGCATGTGATGGTGCCATTCTCTGCTTCATACCACCCGTAGCTCCCTGTGGCCCACAGGACCAAATTGGTGGTCCTCCCCCGGGATTCAGGGCCGTCTGCCAAGGGCCCTCTGCACCTGCCCCTGGTCTTGCCTCACCTCGCCCCGATTTCCACCGTCTGTGCCTCAGCTGCCCCCCAGCATCTCAGTTGTTTGGCTCTCCTGGGCTTCTTCCTAGAAAGCTATGGCTTCCTCACTTTTTGTTCCTTTTTCAACTCAAATGCCCTTTCTTCTGGAAGTCTTCCCTGACTCCTGGGCTGTGTTAGGTCTCCTTCCCTTACTCTCACAGCTTCTTTGTTCATCCATGCAACCCAGCGCCTTCTCCTTGCCCAGCACAATACGGTCAGGGTCTTGGAGCCCAGCTACACTGATGCTTGGGGGGAAGACAGCAGGCCGAGGGCCCTGTGCGGACCCTCTGGGTGTTGGGATGGGGAGACCAGGAGCCGGCAAGGGGGCAGGAAATGTAAGCCGATTCACAACAGCGATGAGTACTGCACAGGCTGACCTGGGTGATGGGGTGGAGGATGGGGAGGGTACTGACTCAGGTTCCCTTTGCTTTTTTGGGAAGTGGGGGTGGGGAGGATTTGGCCCAAGCCTCCTGCCAAGAGTCCCAGGAGGCCACAGGGCTTTGGTTTTCTCCCCACAGAGGAAATCCACGCTGAGGTCTGCTACGCAGAGTGCCTGCTGCAGAGAGCAGCCCTGACTTTCCTGCAGGTAGGAACCCTCCGCTTGTACAAGCAGCCTGGGGATTTCAGAAGGTGGATCACAAGGTGAAAGACAGAAGGGCCTACAGCCACCATGATCGGCCCCCTGGTCGTGGTTGGAGCGACACTTCCAGCCCTGGCCAGGCTCAGTAGCAGAGGTCATGGGCTTTACCCGCTCCACACGGAGCACACGTATCCCATCCGCTACCAGTATGTGCTTCCAGCTTGTGACTGCTGCTTTCCTGCTGAGGGTCACCTGGGACACAGGCATTGTCGCAAAGCCTGTTTTATATAGGTTCATTCAGCCGACAAGTTGACTGGCAGTGTCTATGACATATGAGGCTTTGTGCATACAGTACAGACGTGCAGTATTTACATGCCTTATACATGTTGCATGTTTGTGTTTATGTACAGCTACATATATTATTTAATCTTCATCTCATAGGCCTGAAAAGGGGAGGGTCTCAGGGGACAGCCACTTTCCCAAGGCATGTGATTGGCAAATGCGGAGGTGGGATTCGGACCCAGGCCTGGCTGTAAGGAGCTCATGCTCCTTACCACACAGCAGTAACCAGGGGAGCCAGCACCTCCTGATTTTACCAAAAAGTTGGGTGAGCATGATCACATATAATCATCAAGCAAATACGTACATTAGGGTGGAAAACACATATGAAATGTATTGCTGGGTGCTGTTTATCTTTGCTATTTTTCTATCTTTTTGGTGATTAGGATTGGATTAATCCGAACCCTTCACTGGGATCACTGTACTAATTGCATCAGGAACGGCCTTTTATTTTCTTTGTTAATCCTAGTACTATGCACAGTAAATAAACAAACGGCTGTGAACTGGCACCCCCCCACCCCCCACCAGAGGACAGAACATTGCTAAGCGAGTCTCCCCCCCTCCAGGCCCCTCTCCACCCTGTTCCCTGCCTCCCTCCCAGAGGGAAGCCACTAGCTAGAGTTTATGTTCATGGCCCCCCACCCTATTTTTAAAAAAATAGCTTTTTCATCTTCCGATTCGTGTCTGAACAGCGTATTATGTTTTAGTTGGCTTCAGTCTGTGTGGGACTTGCCTTCTTCAGCCCGGCCCATGTGGCTGGGTAGCAATCCTGTGACCGTACCAGCTTGTTCATTCGTTCTCCTCCTGAAGGGTATCTGGGTCGTTTCTGGGTCTTGGCTGCTGTGAACATTCTGGAAGGTGACTTCTGCAGCCTGTGTTTGTCACTTCTCTTGGGTGTGAACTCAGGAGTGGAACTGCTGGGGGGGCTCTAGGTGTTAGTGCTTTAAATTACAAATGTGATCCACAGCAGCTTGTGAAAAAACACAAACAATCCAAAACCAGGCGTCCCTCTTCCTTCCCCACTCCCTGTCCTCACCTACAGGAGGCGCTGTGAACCTTGGGTGCATCACGAGGCCTTTCGCCAAGGGCATAGTACACCTGCAAAGCTGGTGGGGGGGCGGTTGTAGTCAAATCCCTGGGCATTTTGGAGGTCTTGATTAGTAAATAAGACCCTCACCTCAAGTTCCAAGGATAAGGAGGCTGGTTTGGCTGACCTCTGACCCCATACCCTCAGGGCCCCTCAAAGAGCTGGACCCAGGAAGGGGAAGGCAGAGTCCAGAGCCTTGTGTGATCTTTCTCGCTGGCTACCCACCCAGCCCCAGGTTTTAGCATCTCTCCCTCCTGCAGGATGAGAACATGGTGAGCTTCATCAAGGGCGGCATCAAAGTTCGAAACAGCTATCAGACCTACAAGTGAGTGGGGCTGGCCTGGGGGACCTGGGGTACAGTATCTGCTACCCCATGTATCGGGCTGCTTTGGGGAGCTGGAGAACACTGGCTGGAGGCAGGAAGCCCAGAGTGCTGGCTGACCTCAGGCCACTGTCTGTGCCCCCAGGACCTCCGTTTTCTGGAACACTGTTCCCCTTGTTTTCCTGGGTGTGTCTCAGTTCCCAAGTGCTTACTCTGTGCCTGACCTTGAACTCACAGAATATGAGACATAGATTCTGCCTAAACAGCTTGGGCTGGTGGGGGGAGGGGGAAGGACACGGTGATTTTGAGAACAGCAGCAGAACTCCTACACACCCGTTAAGGCCCAGTCCAAACACCACTTTCCCCATGAAGCCTTCCTTGACGTCTGCAGAACACAGGGGAGTTTCCACCCCCCGCCCAAGTTCCCCCCTAAGAGAGAAGCTGAGGGCCAGATCATTTCTGTGCCATCCCAGTACGTCCCCGTCCCTGGGCAAGGTATAGGCCATGTTTATGGGTGAAAGAATGAAGACTCAACACAGAGCAGGTTTGCCTAACATGGCACCACAAATGTCTACCATTCCAAGTTAAAAAAGCTCTGAAAGTACATCTCCCCTCACCCCCACTGCCCGTTTGGCATTAAAAAATCATTTTCCATTGAAAGTTGACTTGAATTGACTTGAGGCTATTTATCATCTCTTTTCCCCCCATTTAATGTGACCATTTGCCTGCGGAGCTATTTCGAGTTTGATTGCAAGGTATTGCTGCTATAACATCCGTGCAGTACGTGGGCACCACACGCCCTGTGGGCCCCTGCTGGGAATGTGCGAGGGGAACCAGACAAGCCTTCTGCCTCCTCTGGTCTCCCCACCAGCCGCCAGCGTGATGTTTGCCAAGTGCAAACCTTGTCAGGCGCCCTCTGCCAAGTCCTGAGGCTCCTCTTGCCAAGTCGTTCCCCTGAGCCCCCCGCCCCCCTCCTCGCCACCTCTCCCGCTGCACTGCGCCTCGGGCGTTCAGGCACTCCTTCGGCTCTTCAGACGTGCCAAATTCATTCCTAGCTCACGGACTTTGGACACGTTGTCCTCCCTGCCAGGAACATTCTTTCTGTGCCAGGCTCATCCCTCCTTATCCCTTAGTTTTCAGCTCACATGTCAGCTCCACCGGGAGCCTTCCCTGAACCCAGACTGGGTTAGGCCCCAGCGTTTTTTTTTCAAGGCCTTTCTTACCTTCACAGTTGACTCCATGGGGGTCTGTCCTGTAGAGAGGGACACTTGTGAGGGCAGCGGGTTGGTTGCTTTGCTCCCTGCTGCCCTTCAGTGTCTGGCACAGAGAGGCCACAGTCAGTGTTTGCTGATTAAAGTCCTCGAGGTACTCAAGGCCGGGGAAGAAGACGGCACACAATTAAAGCCTCTGTCCTGTCCCAGGCAGGCTGGGACATGGGTGTGTGGTACAGTTGGTGGCCGGGGGAGAGAGGGCTGGATTCTAACCAAGAGACTCCAGGAGACCTCCTGAAAGACGGGGTGTTGGAGTTAGCCCAGTGGTTCTCAACTGGGGGTGATTTTGCACCCCTCCCCCATGAGACATTTGGCAATGTCCAGAGACATTTTGGTTGTCACAGCTGGCATCTAGTGAGTGGGGGCCAGGCATGCAGTTCAACATCCTGTGATGCACCCCCCCCCCAAAGAGGGTCATGCAGCCTAGAATGCCAGCTGGGCCCAGGTTGAGAGAGTATTTTAGACAAAATACAGGGCACAGGCAAATGCCTAGCTGTCAGACAAGGCAGGTGCACTATGGCTGATATGGCTGACGCTGAGGACAAGGAGCGTGTGCTGTTATAGTGGGAGATGTGGCTGGAAACTCCTTGAACATCAGCCTTCTGGGTTGCCAGGACCGATGTAAATCTGCGTGAGTCCTGAGATCGGCTGGGAATGGGGGCAACGTAGGTCCCGCTGGAGGAGCTGCAGCCCCCACAATGTGACTTTGCTTCCCTCTGCAGGGAGCTGGACAGCCTCGTGCAGTCCTCACAATACTGCAAGGGAGAGAACCACAGGCACTTTGTGGGAGGCGTGAAGCTTGGCATGGGCGCCTTCAACCTGGTGAGTGGGAGTGCCCCTCCTCATGTCCAAGTGTCTGGGCTCAAGATTAGGCTCCCCTGCACGTCCCAGCCACACACGTGTTCTTTGCTGGGCTCCTGTGCTGGGCCCTGTGCCGACCCCAGGACCCAGCAATGAGCAGATATGTTGCAGCCTTAGGGGCTCATAGCTGGGGGGCGGGTGTGCTTGGGTGCTGGCACTGGCTCCAGAGTCCCTTCTGTGCATTCCTTCCCAGGTCAAGTTGAAAGTTTGAAATCTGCCACAGTGGCAGTATTCAGAGCACCAAAAACTGACAAACAGTAAATCAGGGCCTTTTCAGCCCTGGGGAGCTGGCGGCTGACATTGACTGGTGGGGAGAAGGAGAGAGGCCCGGAAACAGCTGGTGACCCACGGGGACTGGAGAGCCAAACTCTTTTCTGGGGGAAGCTTTCTTCCTGGAGGGGGTGGTATTTAAGCTGGATCTTGGATGACCCCATAGGTGGAGGAGGTTTTCCAGGCAGGGAAGGCCACGCGAGGCAGAAGGAACAGTGTGAGTAGAGCAGGGAGGCTCAGAAGAGCCGTGCCTGCTCCTGGGAGCAGCTGCCCATGGAAAATTTAGCCTCCTGGCCTGGGGACTTTTCCAAAGTGTGAGTGAGTGAGTGTGTGTGTGTGTGTGTGTGTGTGTGTGTGTGTCTATGTAAAGGGGTAGGGAATACAGAGCAGGGCGGTTCTCTCCACTTCAGGCAAAGCCTGGTCCAAGAGCAGGCCTTGGGGCAGGGATCCCTGCCCGGGTGTGAGTTTGCTTCCTTGTATGTAAAATGGGAGCAGTGATTCTAGGCTGAGTGCTGAGGAATACGGCTGCAAAGTGTGTTGGATGCAGGTTATAGCCAAACTCTCCTGGGTTCAAGGACTGGCTCCACCTCTGATGAGCTTTGGCGTCTTGGACATATTCTGTCACTTACCTGTGCCTCTGTTTCCCCATCTGTCAAAAGGGGCAGTAATCCCTTCTGTGCAGGACTGTTCTAAGCATGGAATGCAGTGACGGAGCCCCTGGTGCCAAGTAGGGATTCAATGTAATAACAACTACAATAGCTGATTATTACATGCAGGCCCCCTTCTATGTGCTTTACACATATTAATTTGACCCATCTGCACAGTGCCCTTATGAGGTAGGGGCTCTTATTATTCCCATTTTACGGATGAGGAAACTGAGGCATAGACAGGATGTGCGTTGCCCAAGGTGACCCAGCTGGGAGTGGTGAGACTAGGATTCGGATGCAGTCTGCTCCTGTCACTGAAACACTTCTCTATCTGGGGAAGCTGGCTTTCCCGGGAACCCGGGGGCATTGCAGACACAAGGCCTGCGCCCCCAGGATTACAGACATGGGATCTGTGCCCCCAGGATTAGACACAGGTCCCGAGTCCCACTGGGCACACCGGGGCCTGTCCGTGTGCCCATCTGCCTTTGTTCCTGCAGACGCTGTCCATGCTCCCTACTAGGATCTTGCGGCTGCTGGAGTTTGTGGGATTTTCAGGAAACAAGGTAACTACCTGCTTTCTGGGACCCCCAACCCACTCAGCCCCAGGACTGGAGCTCAGCCAGATGAGGTGGGGCTGAGGGGCCACAAGGCCCAGGTGCCAGTTCTGGCCCAGTCCCCCTCAGTGTGTGGCCCTGGACAAGGCCCAAACCTCTCTGGGCCTCAGTCTACCCTCCAGTCAAGTGGGGCCAGTGACCCCTGCCTGGTCCCTCCCAGGGCAGAGGTCTGGGGCTGGGGTGGCTGTGGAGGGCAGCGCTGTGTAGGGGCCTAGGGGCGTGTTGTCTGTGCATCACAAGCATCAGGAACTTGGTTCTTCTCCCCTCAGAAGACCTGGAGCAAGTCCCTTCCCCTGGGACTATCTTCTGGTTGGGACTTGCCCCAGGGAAGCCCTGCTGTGCATCAGGCCTTGAGGGCAGAAACCGAACTCACTATACCGAGGCTTTACTGAGGGCAGGACACTGAGTACCTGGGAGAGGATCAAGGAGGGCTCCCTGGTGGAGTGGGCCTGATGTGATGGAAGGAGCATTGGCCTAGAAGGCATCCCCTTCCCCCCGTGACTCTGTCTTTTCATTAAAACAAGGGGCTTTTTCTCCTTTTAAAAATCAGGTTGGTGTCTCTCAAACCCGAACTTTTTCTGGCCCTTGCTGATTTTTGACATGTCCATGGACCGCTATATTATTATTACTTATATATTATTTTTCTCAAAAGTGGCTTGAAATTTTTACTTAAGCTTATTTAAAGTGAATATACAATACAGAACACCTACGTTATTTAGCATGATAAGAGCATAGCCATATCAATAAGCCCTGTGAGGCCCAGACAGTCTTATGAAAGCCCAGCTGGGCTGCGTGGTCTGCCGAGGCTGAGAGAGGGGGTTCAGGGCGATCGCGATGTGCAGCCGGCATCGGCACGGGACCTGGGTGCTCCTGGCCACGTCAGACGGACAGAGAACTGACAAGGGAAGACCCTCTCATGGGACTCTGCTTCCTCGCCTGCCAGCAGACTCTGATACCTTGGCAGCCACCTGTGGTCCATGGGCCCAGGTGGGGAGACACTCACTGGAGGCTCTGAGAGTCCCTTTCCGTTTTGTTTTCTTAAGAAGGCCCTTGGGTCATGAGTAGGCTTTCAGGATGATGATGGGAGGGAAGAGCATGAGAAAGGCCAAGAGGTGGGACAGTGTGGCTGCCTGGCCAGGAAGAGAGGGTGACCAGGCCAGAATGGAGAGACCCCCAGCACAGCGCCAGCTCTGTCTTCATCCTGAAAGCAAGGGAGCCATGGAGGGTTTGAGGCAGGGGTGAGGCAGGTCAGACTTGTGTGTTACAAAGAACAAGAACATCCTGGAGGGTAGACTGAGGCAGAGGCTGCGGACAGGGATACAAGTGGGGTTTTGGCCTCTTGCTCCTCCCCAGTCAGGCTCTGGAGCCGTCTCCTCCAGGAAGCCTCCCCAGACCACAGTCCTTGTGGTCCCATGTGCGCCTTGAGCCTGTGGTTAAGATTATCTGCCTCCTTGTCATTCCTCTTCCCCTGATCAGACTGGGGCTGCTCAGGGCCTCAGCACCCGCCACAGGCCAAGTAGGCCAGTGAAGGGAGGAATGGGTGAGGGGCTGTCGAGGAGGTGGCCTTGGCAGTGGTGTGTGCTGCCCCCAGGAGGGCTTCTAAGATTCAGAGAGGGTCAGCCCCTTGTCCAGGGTTGCACAGCCTGGGAGCAGCTGACCTGGCCTCCTGGGTCTAGCACTTTCCTACCCTCCCCCAGCTCCAGCAGCAGCCCTCACAGCTGTCTGGGGATCTCTAGGCCCCTGTTCCTCCTCGGGTCCCAGCCCGGGCCCTGGGGAGCCCGGGCCTTGCTGGCCTCAGCCTGTCCCCTCGTCCCCCAGGACTATGGGCTGCTGCAGCTGAAGGAGGGTGCCTCCGGGCACAGCTTCCGGGCCGTGCTCTGCGTCATGCTGCTGCTGTGCTACCACACCTTCCTCACCTTTGTGCTCGGTAGGAGGCCTCTGGGAATGGTCGGCTCTGAGGGCAGGAGGGTGAGGGGCTACACACCTGTCTGGACCCCTGAGACTGGGGATGGGGCACTGAAACCACAAAGAACAGCTACATCCACTGTCCTGGGCCTGGCCCCTGACCACTCCCTTCCCCACAGTTTGACTGGGGTCTGGCCTCTGTGTTCTCATCTGTGAAACGGGGATGCTCATGTCCACCTACGAGAGGGTGTGAGGACACTGGAGGCAGCTCCTTGGGGTTCTGGACACAGCCTTGGTTGGCAGTGACTCTTGGTTATTACGACCTGTGATGTGGCTTCTGCACTGTCTTATTTAATCCTCACCTCACCGTGGAGAGAGGAGAGTATTACCCCCATTTCACAGAGGGGAAAACGGGGGCTGGGGGCAGCACAGGGGCCAGTGGCGGTGGTGACATGCGTTGTGCCCCCACCTCCCTCAGGCACCGGGAACGTCAACATCGAGGAGGCAGAGAGGCTCCTGAAACCCTACCTGAAGCGATACCCTAAGGTGAGCTCTACCTCCTGGCAGGTGGCCCAGCGCATGTGTGCCCCACGGCACCCACCCCAGGCCCACATGTGTGTGTTTGCAGGGCGCCATCTTCCTGTTCTTCGCTGGAAGGATTGAAGCCATTAAAGGCAATGTTGACGCAGTGAGTAATGGGGTGCAGGCTGGTGCCGAGGACCCCTGGGGGGTTGGCAGTGCCGCAGGAAGTCAGACACAGAAATAATGTACTCAGTGCCGGGGCCCACGGGGAACAGGGCCCCAGGGGAGAACTGACAAGCCAGCAGCAGTGGGAGCGGCACTTCCAAGGCCGTCTGGGAAGCCGAGGGAGGCGGTGGCATGGGGGCGGGTAGCGTTTTGACAGGGAGATCGGGACCTCGGCACTCCTGGACAGGGAGGTGCTGGAGTAAGGCAGGGACAGGAGAACACGCACTTACTCAGGGCACGTGATAGGCCGGAATCTGGTGAGTGCGGGGCTCCACAGCGGGACGGGACGGGAGCCACTGAAGGGGTTACAGAGGGGAGACCGCAGTCCCGCCGGGGACCCGGGCACTAAGCCAAGGCCTGGGCCGGACTCTGCAGTGTGGAGTTCTGGGGTCTCCCGCTGGCTCTGGCTGTGATTCCTCAGGCATCAGGACAGATGCCCCTGGTCCAGGTCACTTCACAGCAGCTACAGAAACCTTTGGAGCTTGCTCTGAGGCACAGGCATCATTACATCACTTTCATTGGAACATCGTCCACTGCCTGTTATCCCTCCGATGTAGCTCCTTCCTGTCCTTTCACTTAGTGACCTGCAGACTAGAGCCCCAGCAAGGGCAGCCACTGGGTCTAAGGTCATGTGAGACTGCGGGGGGGGGGGGGGGGGGGATGATCAGGACTGAGGCCAGTCTGCCGGCATGGGGCTGGGCCCGCAGGGGAGTCGGTGGGAGCAGGGGGTGCGGGGCGTGGTGTGGGCGAGGGCCGGGGCGCCCTCGGGGACTGACCAGCAGGTGCCCGCAGGCCATCCGGCGGTTCGAGGAGTGCTGCGAGGCCCAGCAGCACTGGAAGCAGTTCCACCACATGTGCTACTGGGAGCTGATGTGGTGCTTCACCTACAAGGGCCAGTGGAAGATGGCCTACTTCTATGCCGACCTGCTCAGCAAGGAGAACTCCTGGTCCAAGGTGGGCTCACACCCAGTGCTGGGGGGCCCTGGGGGGCCAGGCCGAGCCAGACCAGCCATGTGCCCCCAGACCAAGGGCCAAACCCCTGAGTGGACAGAGGTGTCTCTGCTGGAACTTAAACGGAACTGTAACTTCTAATAGGACTTAGGGCTGGAAGGGACTAAAGACCGCGGGGAACAGAGAAACTTCAGACCTGTAATGTGTCTGTCAAGAGTTTTAGTCACCAGGGACAGAAACGTGGCTCACACTGCAGGCAAGTGCTGGCCGGCAGCGCCTTTGGCTGTGGCGGAAATGTTCTATCCCTGCAACACCCATGGTGGGAGCTGCCAGCCACATGTACACACTGAGCACTTGAACTATTCCTAGGGAAACTGGATGTTTTTATTTTTGAGTCAAGTTTAAATTTAAAAGTCACATGGACTAGTGGCCACAGTATTGGACTGTGTGGGTCTAAAACACACAAGGCTCATTAGTTCATACAGCAGAGAATTCTAGGCAAACTGACTTCAGGTAGGGTTGGATCCAGGAATTCAAATTATGTCATCTGGGCTTGGTTTTTCCATGTGTGACTGTGCTCTGCTCTATGACATCTTCACTGTGTAGGCTGGTCCTCTCCATGAGACAGGCAGGGTGGCCATGGGCTGCCTGCCCCAAACTGGCATCTTCCCTTCGGTCTCAGCGGCAGTGCCACGACCTGAGCCTTCCTGGTCTGGCACAGACTGCATGCCAGTGCCTGCAAACAGAGGGGCGGGGAGACTGAGGGATGGGAGTAGAAGAGGGGTGATTCCCCAGAAGAAAAGTGAGGTGACGTCCCCAAAAGAAGTAGCATTGGGGGGAGGGCATTAAGGAGATGCCATGTAGGCAAAACAAAGCAAAACAGGTACCCACTGTAGGTGAAAACTTACAGCATCCAGATAAGTGGTGAAATAAGTATTAGCCATTATCATCGTAGTAATGATAGCACCAAATTCCGAACAGTTTAAGAATCATTTAGATCACCAGAGAGCATCCATCCTGGTATTGGCAAATACGCAGCACTGTGTCTCAGTGAGTTTAGGTCCCCATTTCTCATCCCTCCCCACCTCTGTGTGGAAGTCCTTTTCCAGGACCCTGCCTGGGGACCAGGCTGTAAGGGAATTAATTCTTGGGGTCTGGGCAGGTGGGGCTGGGGGAAGGGCGGGCTGTCACTGAGCTCTCACCGCGTGCCCAGCACTCGCCACTTCCTCCACACCACATCCCCTGAGGCAGAGGTCATCTTCACTGGGCACACGGGGCCATGGAGGCCAAGAGAAGGTGTGCGACTTTCCTCGCCAGCACTGCTGTTGGTGCGGACTCTGGATTTGCAGACAGCCCTGTGTGACTCACAAAGGCCCCTGCTTTTCCCAGCTTGCCCCGAGGCCACCCTGCTGTTAAAGGTGCTCCCTGTGGGCCTGGCATTCATTCTTCATAGCTTCCCACTCCCAGTTAAGAGCACAGGCTCGGGGAACCTTTTTGAACCAGTGACCCAGAAGCCCTCCGGTGGAGTGGGCCGGGCAGCTGGGGCCACTTAAGAGGGGAAAAGGTGTGGGAGTGCGCACAGCTGCTGTGGGCAGGAGAGGCAGGCAGTCTGGCTGTGAGCCGGCTCAGTCTCCAGCTCTGTGTGACTTTGGGGTGGTCAGCACCCCTCTCTCTAGCCCTTTCCTCAGAAGGGTTTCCTGTGAAAGTGGGGGTGTTGTAGCACCCTGAGTTCTGGGGCCTCATTTATTCCTAATGTCCAGTCCTTGGCCATTTCAGAGCCAGCCAACTTTCAGCTCTGGGGACTTGGCCTGGGGCTATGGCATCTCCCCCTGCCTGGACCTCACACCCCGGCGGAGCTCTGTGTTTCTCTCGGTTTGAGATGGCTAGAATCGGGCGGCGACCCCTGTGCAGCGCCGTAACAAGGGAAACAGAGAGCTCATGCAGCACTGGGCAGCCCCGCCGAGAAGACAAGAGAGGCTTCTGGAAGAGGAGACATCTGCACTGAGTTGTGGAGGAGGAGGAATTAGTGGGGAGAGTGGAGGAAGCGAAAGGACACCCATGCCAGGAGAACGGCAAGGTCAAAGGCTTGAAATCCCTGGTGCTGCTAAGAAGCTGTGTCGCCAGGTGAAGGGCTGTGGGTAGAAGTTCAGGGGCACTATGGGAAAACCATCCCTGTTAGGTCACTTGCTGTAGATTCCTGAGGACAAGGACTAGCTGGCTGCACAGACCCTGGCAGAGTAATCCAGAAAACTGTGTCATCAATGGGCAAACAGTCATTACTGGGGAGACAGGGCTCCCACAGGGGAGGAGGCTGCTGTTTTCCAGCAATGTGGCCCCAGATTATTCCTTGGTAACTTGATGTCCACGGGTGTGAGAACTCTAGGTCACTGCACCCACCCTTCCTCCTGGTGACTCAAGGGGGCGAGCTGTCCAGGGGGGAGCCGGAGAAAGCTCTTAACAGAAGCCATTGGTAAGCCTGGCAGAGAAGGAATGATGACATCCTGGGCAGAGGACAGGCACAGTCAAAGGCTGGGGCGAGTTTAAGAAGTGGTGGGGAATAACTGGAAGAAGAGGAGCCAGAAAAGCCGGTCACGGAGCCCTGACTGGCTGTTGGGGCTTTAGTCTGGCAGGGAATGAGCCCAGGATGCTTGTGGCTTAGCTTTGGGCTTTAAGAAATCTCCCCTGCAGTTGCTGGGCACCCCTGCCTGAAGCCGAGTGCCTCTGATGTACTCTGGGAAGGCCCCGGAGGCCAGCGTGGTGGGAATGACACGAGGGGGCGGAAACAGTGGAGGTGAAATTGGAGAGGACACCGGGGAGACTGGCTGGGGCCCCCGAGAGGGGGTTCGGGTTTTATCCTAAGTGCGGTGGGATAGCATGAGAACATTTCAAGGATGAACTGATGTAGTTTGACTTAAAAAGATCTATGGAGTGGGAAACGGCTCGCAGGGGACAGGCATGGGAACAGGAAGGCTGCTTAGGAGACGTGTGGTCTAGGGCAGCGGAAGACCCCTGGTGGCCTGGAGCAGGGAGGCGGCGTGTAGGCTGGTGCGATAGACAAGGTGAACCACAGAGTCAGTAGGACTCAAGAACTGGATGGGAGGTGAAGTCAGGAGGACTTAGTGACTCAGTGCCAGGACGGGGAAGAGGGAGAAGGGATGGGTGACACCAGGAAGTTAAAGACGGGACAGGAAACAGGCTCTAGCAAGGGGAGAGATTGTTCCCACCACACCCGACAAAAACCAGCTTTTCCTCATTTTGTGAAGGGCAGACTGAGGCGCTGAGGGAAGAGAACTGGGAGTAGCCCTGAGCTTCAGCATGGGTGGGGCTGCCAGGTGGAGGCTGCTTTCCACCTTCTCCAGAAACTAGACTCCAGGATGTCCTGCTTCCTTTCCTCCTCCACCCACTACACTTCTTTCTGGGCTAATGGCAGGTAGGTAGGTAGTTCCTTGGCAGCAGCCCCGGGTGGCAGGAGCTGTGGTGCAAGGCTTGGCCACTGGAGGGCAGCACAGAGCCAGGCTCCTCTGGCACTGGATTTTTAAGGGGGAAGGGGCACAGCTTTTCAGGATAGATCTTTTTGGGAGGAGGAAGGGGAGTCTGCACAGCCGCACCTTCCCTCCCTGTGGACAAGGTCCTTAAAGCCACACAAATATGGTGTCACGCCCAGCTCTGCCCCCAGCAGCGCTGAGGTCCTCTTAGGAAGCAGAAGGTGGGTACAGATTCCTTTCTGGCATTGTCCGCGGGATCAAGTAAGGTGATGTACGTACAGTGCCTAGAACAGAGTAAGGCAGTTCCACCCAGGGATCCTGAACTGAGCCGTGTGACCCAGGGCCATGCTCACTCTTCTTGCCTCACCCCTCTTCTTTTATGCATCCCAATACTTCATGCTCCCTATTTGTATCTTTGCTATACACAAGCTCTGCTCAGGCTGTTCCCCTTCCCTGGAAGGTCCATTTTCAGGGTTTCTGTGAATCTCTCTGATGGCCTTCAAGGGCTCGGTCTGAAGTAACTGCTTCCCAGAAGCCCTTGCTGCCTTGCCTGTGTCTCCATCCTGGCCTCAGCACTCACCGCCCGGCACCCGCTGGTGGCTGGAGTTGTTCTGTTGCTTCACAGTGGAGAGGGTGGCAGCGGCTTAGATGTGGGCCCGTCCTGGATTTAACTCCCAGCTCAAGTCCTCAAGTTGTTTCAGCTCCCTCAGTTTCTCCCCTGGGGCTTGAGGATAATGTTAGCTGCTAAATGAGGTATTTGCGCCAAATGAGTTCCCAATGAGTTGCCACGGGAGTTGGGGCCTCCGCAGCTGTTTCCAAGGGCAGAGGAAAATGTGGCATGCAGCTGGGCCAGCCCCCACCGCCGAGCCTCGCCCGTGCTGTCTGCAGTCGTGACCGGGTTCCCCACACCTGACTCTGGCCCTGCCTCTCACAGGCTACCTACATCTACATGAAGGCTGCCTACCTCAGCATGTTTGAGAAGGACGACTACAAGCCGTTCGGGGATGACGAAGTGGAGTTGTTTAGGTGAGCCCTACCTCGGCACCCCCATGGCAGGCCCCGCCAGGCTCCGTCCAGGGCACTGGGCAGGAGGTGCTGGGGTGGTCATCACCCCTGGCCCCGAGCTCCCTGGCCCTCCCCAACGATTGTGCACAGCCCGCCATGCCCTTCCATCACCGCATTCTCCTCCTGATGCTTTTGGAATCCTTTGCATCTGTTCAGAGGCTTGCTTTCACCAAAGTGGTTTCGTCAGCGCCCTTTCCTTTGAGCCTCTTTCCTCAGGTCAGGAGGACAGATGTGGACACTGAGGTCCAGAGAGGTCCATTCTGCTGGGTTAACCTGATACACTCAAAAAAGCACAGTAGACAGCCAGAGTCGGATCAAATAATCGGGATTAAATCCAGCCTGTGCCATTCCTTAGCTGTGTCACCTTGAACACTTTCAGCATCTATAGAACGGGAATAACCTCTGCTTTGCAGCATTGTTTTGCAAATCAATTAGAGGATATATTTACAGAGCCCCGAGCCACTAAACCCAGGCTGTTTTTACTTTTATCTGTAAGGCTGGCCTGCTGAGTTTGCCTTTGCTAAGGCTCCAGAGCAGGGCTCAGCCTCTGCAGGTTGAGAGTGGTGGACCTTCCCCCAGTTGTGGTGAGAACTGGCCTTGAGGTGGCGATAACCTGAGCTTCCCCAGTTACCAGCATCTTAGTCACAGGGCGTTTATCATCTGCTGAGTGCCTCTGTTTCTCCATCTCCCGGACTCTCCCAGAAAGCCTGAGAGTATCGTGGGGGAGGAAGATAATTTTCCCTCTATTCTTCTATGTTTTAAGTTGAGTCCCTCTCCCTGTAATAAAAGACAGATTAACAAGAGAAAAACAGAGAAGTTTAATAACATGTATGCCTCCTTTATACATGGGAGATACCCCAGGAAAAACTGAATAATTCTCTGAAATGGCCCAGGCCATCACCTTAAATACCATCTCCAACTGAAGACAGCAGATGGCTGGGCTGGGGAGCCGTTACAGGAGGTTTCCAAAGCACAGCAGAGGAGGGTGTGAGTGCTGTGCAGATTAAGTCTCTACTTTCTCTACTGCTAAGTTTCTGGAGGTTTAGTCACCCTCCTATTCCTGTTACAGAGAAGGGGGATACACCCATACAGATGCTATTTTCCTTAGAAACCTCTCTCACAAAAGGTAACTTCCAGGTTTTCAGGAGTTTCTGTGCCTGCTATTTCTTACAAATAACCTGCCTAAAATAATCTTTAGGCCAAGGGGTCATGTTGTGGGGTGACAAATTCTGCTCCCCTTCATGTCATTATCTCCATTTTAGAAATGAGAAAACAGGCCCTGAGAGGTTCCACTGTGAACAAGCAGGGAGGTGTCTGGTGGGCCTCACAACTAGGTCCAGCTGGTTCCTGGGCTTGGGCAGCTCAGGCTTGAGGGTCACAGCCACACCCTGTGAATGTGGCAGAAATCAGAGGGCGGGGTGGAGCTGGGTGGGCGAGGCCCAGTGGTGGAGGCTCGCCTAGCTGCGTACCACATTGTATTCTGCCCCTGGAAACAGCTGAGGAGGCCCCAACTCCCACAGCAAGAGGCAATTAAAGGTTCGAGCTGTGAGGTCTTGGGCAGGCCCCTCCCTTTCTCTGGGTGCTCATCTTCCCTGGGAAATGGGTCAGACTTCCACTGGGCCCACAGCTCAGCCCTCCAGAAATGAGGCCTGAGAGTGGAGACAGAAGGCAGAGCAGGCTGGGGCGTTTGTGTGTATTCTCACTTCTGCCAGCCGGTGAGGAGGAACCCCTTGCCTAGCCACAGGAAGTGGTCAGGTCTTGGGACAGGGCCTGTGAAATAAGGCCATTATGAATCCAATACTGTTTCATCATACAAATGAGGAAATTGAAGCTCAGAGAGGTGCCAAGTGGACACTGGGCAGTCTGGGGACTCTCAGTCCTCTCCTGCTTTTTCTCACCTTGACTGCCTTACCCCCCACCCCACCTCTTCTCTCGCAGAGCCGTGCCAGGCCTGAAACTCAAGATTGCTGGGAAATCTCTACCCACAGAGAAGTTTGCCATCCGGAAGTCCAGGCGATACCTCTCCCCTGAACCCGTCTCTTTGCCAATCCCTGCTCTGGTGGGTCAGAGGGTCGTGACTGGCTCTGCCCTCCAGTTTGGAATTGTAGGGATCAGCTGAGAGCTGGAGATACAACCATGGACCCAGGGGAAGTGGATCAGGGAGAAAGACCTTTATGCCTCCAAGGCCTGAAGAGGCTTTCACAATTCACCTGGGCTGGGGGGAGGGCAGATGAGTCTGGCCAGCCCTTGCCTCTGAGAGAGTGGTGGTCTGCTGGGGGTGGGGCTGGGAGTCAGGAGACAAAAGAGCAGATTTCAGACACCTGAGGGCAGAAAGAGCAGCTCCCCCCCCCCAGACAGCTCCAGCTGCCTGTCCCAGGGCAGAGGCACCACTCAGCTGTTTTGTTTCTACCCTGATTGTTTCAGTCTTGTCACATGATTGTACTTGTTTACACTGTTCCCTCCACTGGGCCTTGCTTTTCTGAGGCCTGGGACCCTGTAATATTCCACTCTGAAATAACAGGAATAGCTGACATTGTTATTGGGTACCTGTTGTGTTCCGGGTTCCTTACACCCACTGCCTATGGCCTCATTTGATCCTCGAAATAACCCTCTGAGTAGGTGCCAGTGGTGGCCCCATTTTACAGATAGGGATACAAAACCCTACTAGGTAAGTGATGAAAATAGATATCTAAATGGATAAAATATAAGTAGAAAGATAATTTGTCCAGGCTGCACAGCTAGTGAGTTAAAAGTCAGAATTTGAACTCAGTCTGGTTCCAGAGACCATATTCTGAACCACTGTTATGCCCATTCCAGGCATGATTTTAGCAGTCATCAGAGAAGGTTCCCGTTTGTGAGGAGTCCTTGTTATTCAAATGGTAAGACAGCCAGAAGAGTAGAAAGGGTCTTCAGAGACCTTTCATTGGTTCTGGCTCTACCATTCACTAATTGTGTGCCCTTAGTGGAAAATGGGGTAATTATTTAACTTGCCCATTTCATGGTACAGTTATGAGAATCAGCTGTTAAAACGTGTTAGATAGTTCACAAAGTTCGATATTTAAAAAAAAATTTATTTGAGATTGATTTGTTGTTCCACTTATTGATGCATTCATTGGTTCCTTTTTCTATATGCTCTGACTGGGGATTGAACCTACAAACTTCGTGCATTGGTATGAGCAACCTGGCCAAGGCCAAAACATTCAATATTTATAGAATTTATTTAGAACTTGTATCCTGAATATCTCTAAACAAATTTTCAAATATTTTATAAAGTAAAGCTATTCTAAAATTAGGGGTGGTGATGTAAGGAAGGGCAGAGGAAGTACCTATACAGAAAATTTAGGGGATAATTTCCTAACCTATAATCTGAAAAATGCCAGTAAATATATTGGGTAAGACTGCTCTAAACAAATGATTTCTTCAAAAATTTAGTTTAGCCCTGGCTGGTGTAGCTCAGTGGATTGAGCGCGGGCCTGCGAACCAGACAATCGCGGTTTGATTCCCAGTCAGGGCACATGCCTGGGTTGCAGGCCAGTTCCCAGCAGGGGACCCACGAAAGGCAACCATACATTGATGTTTCTCTCCCTCTCTCCTTCCCTTCCCCCTTAAAGATAAATAAATAAAATATTAAAAAAAAATTTAGTTTAGAAGGGCCTTTTAGTGATCCTCTGATCTGAGATGCTCATTTTACAGACAGGGAAACTGAGGCCCCACTGAGGAAACCTGACTGCCTTGCTCCCCTGCCCTCAGGAAATGATGTACATTTGGAATGGCTACGCTGTGATTGGGAAGCAGCCAGAGCTCACTGACGGGATACTTGAGATTATCACCAAGGCCGAAGAGATGCTGGAAAAGGGGCCAGGTGACTCCCCCAGGCCCTTGAACCTACCAGACTGGGTCAAACCACAGGACTTTCAGTTGAAGCTTCCTCTACTGAAAATGTCCTTCCTTTCTTCTCTACCCTGGTAACTGACCTTTGCCTTTCTAGAGTGAGCTTCAAGGACAGCTCCTCCAAGAAGCTGTCCCTTGTCCCCCAGGTAGAGTTAAGGCCTTTCATGGACTCCCACAGCCCCTGGGCTTCCTTCTCTGTCAGCCTTGATTTCACTCTATTGTCATTGTCCCAGTGTGTCTTTCCTTCCCAGTGTGAGTTCCCTGAGGATAGGGACCATGTGTGAGTCACCTCTGTGTCCCCAGGGCCCAGCACAGAGGGCCCCCAGAAATGATCAAGCCTGTTTTCCTCTCTCACTGCCCTGTTCTCAGAGACCGAGTACTCGGTGGATGATGAGTGTTTAGTGAAGTTGCTGAAAGGCCTGTGTCTGAAATACCTGGGCCGTGTCCAGGAGGCTGAGGAGAATTTCAGGAGCATCACTGCCAAGTAAGTGCCTCTGGCTACTTCTGATCCCCATGGCCTACTGCTGGGTGCAGTTCTCTCGGATAGAATTTTCAGGCATATTTTTCCCTCATGTGCACTCACTCCAGTGTGTGGCCCTACCTCTATGCACCATGCAGTGTCTACTCGGTGCCAGGACCCGTGCTGGGCACTGATCATTAAGACCTCATCCCCCTGGGCCACCAGACTGCTTAACTACAGGAGCCCATCTGCACTGAGCTCCATCTGAATAGTGCCCCCTGAAGTTTGCAATTCACCAACTCTGACCTTGCCCTTGGGGATCACAAACATGACAGATAGATAGCTACAGGCAACTCGATCTGGTATGATCAGGACTGTGCTAGGGAGAAGCAGAGAAGATAGAAGGTGTCCTGAAGAGGACCCTAAACCCAAAGCAGGATATGCCGTTTAAATTGGGAAGTTTAGGAGGCAGAGAAAGCAATGGAGGAGGAGTTTTCAGTGGAGTAGGTTACAGCACATGCAAATGCTCAGGCACAGAGACACCTGAGGCTGGAGGGACAGTGCCTAGGCTCTCCCTGACCATGTGAAATTATAGAGGGAAAGGGCTGCAGACAAAAGTGGGTGTGGGGGGTGGGGTTTACACTGCGAAGGGCCTGGCTGTCTTTCTAGAAGACTGAGCTTGATCCTGCAGAGAGAAAAGAGCCAGGAAAGATACCAGACAGGGCAGGTCTGGGTCCTAAAAGGGTGTTTCTGGGGCAGTATGGTGCGTAGGTTAAAGGGGCCAAATTGGAGACAGGATACTTCCCAATATAATTAATCATTCAACTTGGGAAGAAAGGGAGGTTGGGGATTTAGGTGGGAGTAGGCTAAGGATATGGTAAGAGCCATAGGTTGTTAGGAAGCTGGGTCCCAGGTGCAGAGGCCTGGAAGGCTCTGTTGTGGATCCTAATCCTTTCTAGGGCTGGGTAGTGGGAACCCTCCTAAACTGTAATTCAGAGCTGGAAACTCCACTCAAGGGCATGGGTTGGATCCTTTCACTTGGAGAAGGCTCTGGAGGAGGGGCTTGAAGGGCATCTCAAGGGCAGGGCCTGTAAACCACGTCCTCCTGTCTCACAGTGAAAAGAAGATTAAATATGACCACTACTTGATCCCAAATGCCCTGCTGGAGCTGGCCCTGCTGTTCATGGAGCAAGGTAGAAATGAAGAGGCTGTCAAGCTCTTGGAAACTGCCAAGTAAGACTGGATTAGCCCAGGCATCAGTGAGGGAGGGTGTAGGCAAGGCAGTATGGTATCTAGAGGCTGGACCTGTGTCCCTGGGAACCCAGCTCTCACCTAGCATGCAAAGGCTTCCTCAATTTACCAGTGAGGAATTGGAATCCCAGAAGTAGGGAGTGAGTTACCCAAGGTCACACACAAGTAAACCACAAGGCTCTGTGAAGCTTCAAGTCTCCTGCCTTCTAGCCCATTGAGCTACCTCTCGAAACCTCAAGCTTGGGGACCCATGAGGACCAAGAGCAGCTCCTTGAGGGCATGATATCTGGGTGAGGAGATTCACAGCCTTGCTGCTAATTCCTGTTGGGCAGGCCCAACATTTTTTAGACAGACAGGGATTTAGACTGCAGCTCTTCCTTGGCTGGTGGGCTCCCACAACTCAGACTGAAGCAGCCTCATGTGTCTGATTCTCTGGTCTCTTCCAGGCAAAACTACAAGAACTACTCCATGGAGTCAAGGACACATTTTCGAATCCAGGCAGCCACACTCCAAGCCAAGTCTTCTCTAGAGAATGGCAACAGAACCATGGTCTCCTCGGTGTCCTTGTAGTTTTGTGCAGCACTCCCAAGCTGGAAGACAGAGACAGCTGAACAGAGCTCCTGGAAACATTTCAAAACCAATCCCCTCCCCCTGCCCTGCCTTCGGGGTCCACCGGTGCTCCAGTGGGATGGCACGACCTGAGTATCCGTGAAGCCACGCTGGCGTTTTCACCAGTGTGGCCAAGTCCTTTGCCAAGGACAGAGCAGGTGGAGCCCTCTGCCTGGCCTATCGCATATACGGGTACTTGTTTTTCACTGTGATGTTTAAGAGAATGTACGAATAGTTTACATTTTCCTTAGAAATACAATGATGGGATCATAGTTGGCTTTTTAAAAAACCACCAACCAACCACCTGCATATCTTTGCTTTAATCCATACTGATCTGGAGGTAAATCTGTATGATGCCAAAGGCGAAACTGCTTTTCAGACCTCAGCAAGGTCTCAGCTACCCGGGCTGGAAGGACCCTCAGGAGGGTCTGCACCTCAGGCTTCAAAACCTCTGGGGGCTGCACAAAGACACCCCCTATCTTACTCCTTATACTTCATTTTAATTCCCTTTGTATCCTTCCAATTTAAAAAAAATCAAACTTATCTTTTTAGTGAGATAATTTTCATTTGAGTTGATCTGCAGGGAAAAAAATCAATCTCTACCAGTCAGGAGCAGGGATGCTGGGGCCTGATGGGGAGCTGCGTGGCTCTTTCTGTGCCAGGAAGTTTGGGGGGAGGGGTGGTTCTCAAACTGAAACCACTGGGAATGATTTGAAATCTTCTGTACTTCACTCTGAAGTACACTTACTTACCAACAGCATTTTTTTTTGGGGGGGGGTTATCCTTGGCCTACTGTCTATGTTTTAAACTTTTTAGTTAAGAGAAAATAGATATTTAAGTAATAAAATTTATATACTTAAAAGAAATCATCCAACATCTATTTCAGTAAAATGTGTTGCTTGAATTCTTAGGCAGGGCAGAAAGTCTGGATCAGAAACCTGTTTTATTTAGATTAACAGCATATTCTAAAATTTTTAGGATAAGTCACCAACATTTAAAAATGGGGAGATTTCACAAATAAATCATGTTTCCAGCCTCTTATTAAAAAAAAAAAAAAAGATCTGGCAACATTGGGCCTTATTACCATAAGCAACAAAGCAACAATCAGTTGGAGCTGAGTAGAGGTGTCTTCAAACACTTATGTTACCCTTCTGGTCCCTAAAATCACCTGCACTGGCAACTTCTGGGACTGTTACAATGAGAACTCAAGTTCAGTGACTGAGTTTTAGCATTCAGAATCTCATGACGGCATACTTCGATGTAACCATTTCCATAGAAAACTTCCATAGTAAAAGTATTCATCTGTGAACAGGTCACTAAAATATATGAATGCAATTTCCCTAAGAGAAGAACCACAGACAACTCTCCCATCTTCTAGCATTGCTATATTTAGCAAACACTCCTGAGCATCTGCCAGTGGCTGGGTGGGTTAATCTACTAACATACAGTCAACCAGCTTCCTCTGGCAGATACTGAATGGGTTTTAGGTAAGGCATATTACCATTAGGGAAAGAAAGCAAACTGTCAGCAGAGCTGCTGTGAAATTTTCCCCCCATTCTGTTAGAACCAGACAAAAGACTAATCTCCATAGAGCAGCCCTCTGTAAGTGCTATCTCCTCCAAAGACTGGATGCTGGGAGACCTGTTTCTAGGTTGCTGGGCAGGGCGGGTGTGAGAGGGTGACTACAGGCAGGCTGCTGAGAGGACAGCTTTCTGTGGCTCTCCCACACTTTAGAACCCTACCTATTACTGCACAGAAGCAGAACTAGACAGAGGATACCAAACATAATTTGCAAAATAGTTTATTAAAAAAACCCTTTTATCTCAACATTTATTTTAGGTGCTTTTGCTTATATTTAAAAATTTATGCCAGATGGTTTCCTTGTATTTGTTGCTTCTTTCTTGCTGGGCTTCATTAATTAGCCCAGTTCACTTTTACCCCTGTCTGCTGCCCTGGCTGCTGTCTGGCTGATAAGAGAAATCAGTAGGTTTTGTCTCCTTTATCCCATCTGCAACTTGAGATAGTCTATGAAAAACATGCATGTGAGGGAGGGCGGAGGGTAAACACGCAGGGTGTCTGACACCGCTTATCCTGTGCAGAGGCCTTTGAAGGTGAAAATTCTGTTGTAAGCTTCTTACTGTGTCTGCTTTGGGCCATTTCTGGTTACTTCTCTTACAGATCTTTCCACCATGTCTGCCTTGGATAGGGAGCTGATCAGGTGGAGAGTTTTGGCCTAGAAATAAGGAGACTTCAATTCTAGTCCCTGCTTTGCTTTTTTAGAGTAACCTTGGGAAGGTCAGAGACCTCCTGAAAATTAACAACTTGACCAGATTATATTCTTTCCTGCCGTCGACAGTTCTGATTCTAACTCTGGTTAAGTCTGTTGGTGGGTTTTCATCTCCAAAATGAGGAAACAGATATACAACTCTCTACTTTTTGCCAAAGCCTTGCCCAATCTACTCAACCAGAAATGATAGGCTTCCTCAACCCGGGGCCTCGACAGGAGCCCAGGATACCCACAGAGCAAACAATCCCCATTCGGGGCAAGTCTGTGTCCTGTGCCACACACAGGAACTCGGTTGTTAGGAAGTGGCAACTGTGTAACATGACCTCAACAGGCCCTTGACAACGGAAATTCTACCCCTGACTCTCACTGGTCACAGGCCCTTGGGGCTTTCAGCAGCGTGCCGGTCCCTATCAGTTCTGCCAGGCGTTGGCAGGATTCCCTGTTCCTTATCTCTCCAGTCAGAACAGGAGTGCTTCCAAAACAGCTACGGTCATTCATAGCAAAAGCCATCACCTGAGAGCAAAGTCAGGACCCTCAAAGGCCAACGCCACCCCAAGACCTGGCTGAGGTCCAGGTGGGAGATTCCCAGCAACTGAACAATAGCACCAGGAGGTTTTTAGAAAGCCCTAGCCTGTAAGGACTAGAATCGTTCAACAAAGGAATAAAGTCTGAAGACACTTTTCTCAAGTTGCTCTCAAATTTATTTCTTCTAAAATGACCGAGAACAAACAACTTATCCTTGTTTGCTTCAAAATTAAAGGTTCACAGTGTGCTTTTTCAATAACTGTTTCCTATGTCCTTGGCACCATCACACTAATTCAGTAATAATGAGAAGTGCCTGGATTCCAAAAGCCATGCAGCCAATGAGAGTTTCTCACTCCCAGTCCCCAGATGCAGTTTCCAACGTTGGAAAGTGCCTTTACGCTCAGGTCAGCACAGCTCCTGGGAAATCTGGTGCAAAGCTCACTACTGCCCAACAGGGTAAGTCCACAAGGAGCTGCACTGGGGGACTTGAAAATTCATTTCTCATTAGCAATCTATGAGTTGCCTCCACTGTATAAAGTCAAGTGTCAAATGACAAAATGTAACAGAGCCCTTCGTTTGTGAAGACGTACAAATACTGAAGGTCACAATGGACTTCTAAAAGTTGACATTCAAGTTTAATCAGACACGTCACAGCTAATACCTCACAAATGACGGGACTGGGTTTTCTTGTTTTTCTTGACATCATTAACAAACACTTCTGAACACCAGACACTGTATATATGTTCTGGACAAAATAGCTACTATCGAGTGCTCATTATTTACCAGTTGCTATTCTGAACACTTTACATAGTTCTAATCCTCATAACCACATTAAGGAAGGACTATTATTGCCAATTTACAGACGAGAAAACCGAAACATGTCAGATAACTTGCCTAAGACCACAGGTACTATGCAGCATGAAGATCTCAAAGCAGTTGCCCATGCTCTGCTAAATTGCTGGTGGAGCTTAAAATGATCAGATTCAAGTTGAATCTGACTTACAGTGACTTGGGCCACTGTTAAGGTAGTAGCTAAGAACTCAAAAACCAGAAATCCTCGGCTTGGAACACATAAGAGAACATATGTCTGTGTGGCCCCTTCCCCAGGGCACTTGGCTTCATGAGGTAGGGACAGGGTCTAACTTGGACAAAATCAAAAGAAATCAAAGGCAACCCTTAAGCAACAGTATTTGCTCATAGAATCATCAAGGGATACTGGAGGAAAAGGCATGATCGAATCCCCAGACGGACAGGCAGAGTTCTGGTCAGCTACTCTACAGACAAGAAGTGAAGCCTGAACAGATGCAGAGGCTCAGGCCAGGATTGAGGCTTGAGCAGTAGCAAGCCATGTGCTTGAAGATAAAGACAGTAAGAGATAGGAACTTTGACAACTGGGAAGCACATGCTATAGGCATTCAATTTGAAGTTTGGCTGGCCAGCCAAACACACCACATCTGTGGGTCAAAGTGGTCCATGGGCCAGAAATCTGTCACCCCTGAATTGTAGCCTTCAGATAACTAACTATGGGAAGAGACTGTGAGCAAATTCACAGTAAGAGAAAAAGCCTGCTCTCCTAAAAATACCAACATTAAGTTCTATTAATTACATGGGGTAGTGGGGAAAAAGCACAGACTGGATTCAAACTTAGTTGGAATTATTTCACTGCTTTGAGAATCAGTTTACACTTACATAAAACAAGGCTAATGCCACTGTTTCACAGCATTGCTGAGGATAAAAAGAAATCATGAGAACAGTGTAGCACAGCCCCTAGTATATTCAGGGAGTATGTTTATTTGGCCTCATATACTGTGGGAAGGCGGTGGTGGAGCTGGCCTTGGGGATGACTGAATCAAGGGCTCCAGGGCTGCTTCATCTCTTGGCTTTGCTTCTGTGTTAGATGGGGTACTGGGCAGACAAAAAACAAGATGTATCCATGCTATGTCTTTTTTTTTTTTTAACGTTCATATGCAGAAATTGGCTTGCTATATTCCAAGGTAATGGGAAGGATAAGGACAGTGGGTTCAATCTGTGGCACTGGTTAATGACAAGAATTGCCAGAAAGTTTTCTTTGCCTTTCTTGCCATCCTCAAAAATCCTGTGTATACGATCCCTATTTTCCAACGGGAACTTCCTTGATAATGGCTTCCTCTCCACCAGAAATGCTCAGGTTGCTTAGGACCTGTCTTCTTCCCTATTCTCCTCCCCTTCACTTAGTAACCATCGATGCCCAACTGTCCTGATCTCATGGAGTTTGGTCTGATGAGGAAGACATAAAAGTAACCACAGAATTACAGCCATGGTGTAAGTAAATGGGATGTGTTTGGTCCAGAGGATAAGCCAGCCATTGGAACAAACTGAGGGAGTGAACTACAGGGCAGAAATTGTAATTTCAAAAGATTTGAGACAGGAATGAGCTTGACATTTTAGAAAGCACAAAAAGAAAGTACACGTGGCTAGAAGGTAGAGTATTATGAAAGAGGAGAGGCAGGAAGCCAACTCTCTTTGGTAAGAAGTTTGGATTTTACTCTCAGCACAGTGGGAAGCTATACAAGTTCTAAGCAGAGGAATGACATCATCCAATTTACTCAAACTTATTTTAGCTGCAATGTGAAGAATGGATTATGTAGGGTTAAACTTGGAATTTTGGAGGCTGGTGCCCATGCCAAACGCTTCCAGCAACACTTACCTCTGCTTTGTGTAAAACTGCTGGGTAAAAAATACAACTTCCCTTCACCAGCTATAAGACTTAGGGAAAAAAATACTTTCAGTATGCTAAGTTGCTCTAAGCATATTGAGAGGCTCTAAGGGTCAATGTAAGTTGGCATTTCATATCCTTTGCTTGTCACAAAAATCAGAAACCCAACTTATCAAACTTCAAAGATATTAACTCAAAGTTTAAGAAATATAGTCCCGAGAATGGTACTTGCAATAACCATCTCAAAATACCCTACTAGATATAATACCTGCTAACTACCACAAAGAATGTTTATAAATTATTCCTCCTCATGTCAAGATAACATTACATTGATTATTAGTGTAAGCAAGGCTGTGAAGACAAATAGTTTTTTAAAAAAATAATTCCCCTTCCTCATATACTACACACCCTAAAACTATAGCTATTAATCTATATTCTGTCTGCTGAGTTCGGTGACCCTCAGAGACAGGTCAGGATGCTACGGTGTCAAAGCTCAAGGACCGGCTCTGATTCCGGCATTGGCAGAATGTAGCCTGTTCTCCCAACTCTGGCATGGAGAGTGCTGGAAGCAACCTCAATGTCTTTCTGATAGCATAGTCCAGGCTTCCCATTCATACAATGCTTTGGGATCCTGAATGACTAAATTAACTATCACATGGCCCCCAGAGAAAAGCTGGGCTTACCATTTTTCAAAGCCAACCAAATCTGCTCTGACCCATGTGGCTCAGTTGGTTGGGCACTGCCCTGTCAAGTGAAAGGCTGCCAGTTCGATTCCCAGTTGGGGTATGTACAAGAGGCAACCAATTGATGTTTCTCACCCTCTCTCTTTTCTTTCCTTCCCTATCTCTAAAAATAAATTAAAAATCTTAAAAAAAAAGTCAACCAAATCTTTTTGCAAGCATTCAGAGTTCACCACTATGACCAGACTCTTGAGGCAAACCCTCAGTTACCTATTTCAACTTTTTTTTCAGTGCCAAGAAATCTGGAGCCTATAAGCACCGATGTTACAGAAGCGGTTCAAAGCAAACAGTTGCTGCTCACCCTTTGAATACAATCAGTCCTGGACACCTAAAGTGTGTACCTTATTCATAATGCTGCTTTGCTCTTCATTTGTATGCAGAGGAAAACAAACTTTCTGTCGAAAGCATCCAAAGATGACTAAATCTTCCAGTGGGCATTAACTTTTCTCAAGAAACAAAAATGTAAAAGAAAGTTAGTATCTCTCCTAAAGTTGCCTATAAACTTTATGAACTGTAAGTGGTTTTAGTCTCTCAGTCACAGTAATCAGATGGTTCCAGTTACTGTCCTGAGCTAATGCC